TGCTGCCATCTTGAACAATATGGAGAGGTCATAGCTCAGGGAAATGGGGGTAGAGGTTCCCCACCTTTCCCTCTAGGAAACTTGTTGTTGCCTGGAAGCAAAGGCAGATTGCTTGGGTGAACTGTGCTCCCCATGCTCAGTCAGCACTGAGTGCAGTAATGCCAAGTTCTAGCTTATAGCTACATAGACAGTGCAGCGTTCCTTGCAAGGGAAGATATCCTGCATGATCTCCCACAGTAATAAAGATACAACAGTTTTGAGAAGTTTGAGGGTCTCCTCAAATATCCTGCAAAACACCAAGAGAATAGCTGTAATGGCCCATCACCTTTTTTTTTTTATTTATTTTCAACTTCTTTATGGGAAAGTTGTATCAAATATGTCTTCTCCCCCTTAATCTAAAGGGAACACACTGGAGCCTACATTTGTTTTTTCATGTAATTTCCTTATTCTGTCTCCTGTGAGTGTAGTGTTTGCTTTATATTACCTAGAGAAGTTATGCCAAATTAACAGTTTGTCTGAGGATGAGTTTCTTGTTCTAGATGTAGAAGATCCAATTCTTAAATCGAGCAATCATCTTCTGCGTTTTAGACCTTAAATAAAACTAAATTTATTCTGTCTTCTCACTAGAAGTGGACATCCAACCTACTGTTTGTTATCAAGTGACTCAGAACATGGAAATGGGATTTCAGCAGGAGAAAAGCTGCAGCAGCATTTGGCCCGTACATGGGAATAGATTGGTGAGACTTCGGAGAGATGTCAGCTGCAGAGACGGTAGATCACAGACTGCGACACTCCTCCTGTCGTCACATACTCGAGTACTTAGTGTGTGTTGTAAATCTAGGAACTACTCAGAAGCAAGAAGGGACTTGTACACAGAGGCTGAGGGATTCTGGCGGGTGGAGGAGAAACTTGCATTCAAGAATGAGGTCAGGTACTTAGTCAGGGGCTGAAAGTTGTGTCTGTTTGGACTTTGGTCCTCTGTCAAAATCCACAGTCCCGTAAGGCTCCAGAGGAATAGAGTGCAACACAAGTGGAAGGTAAATAACAGGTTTTGAGCTTGGGTTGTTGTGTTTTGTTTTGTTTTTCCCCTTCCTTCCCAAGTTGTATTGGTGCATTTTGCCTGGATGCAATGTCTTATCAGTACTAACACTGGGACAGCTTTAATATTTCTGTATTAGTGATGGCTATTCATATAACCTACCAATGACAGTAGTGGGAAGTGGAAGGGAAGGCTGTGGATATTACATAAGGAGTTTATCTAATTACAAAGCAGGAGGGGACATCTGGAGGGGAGAATCAGCAATTGTTGTAAAAATGGGCTGCTTCATTTAACCCCAATGAAGAAGGAATTAAGTCATTGCTGAACACATTACCATTGCTAACTTTCTGGAGCAGAAAACATGACTTAGGAAATGAGAACTTCAAGAAGACAGATTGGGTGATGCTAAGAGGAAAAGCTGAATCATAATCAGAGTGGTGTAGTTGGCATGATTTATGGTTTGTGATTATTAACCTATTTTTTAAAAAATAAACAAACAGCTGAGTTTTAATAATGGGAAAAAAAAGTTCAGTTACAGAACAAGGCTTTTTAAAAAGTACAGCTGGGACAGTGGCAAACAAAATCATACTTTAGGTTATAATAATTAAAATAACCATCCCACATTTAAAAACAGAAACAATGGATTCCAAAGGAAGTGAAAGCAGCTACAGAAAATGCAGAACTTGAGTATTAAATGTTTAATAAGTAATCCAGAAGAGGCCTCCCATGTTTTTAAGATTATTCTTTAAAGACCATATGCTTTCTATTGATTATTGAATGAACTAAGGGAGAACTTAAAAATCAACATGCCAGTAAACATGGTAGTGTAATAATATGCAGAGTTGAAGATAAACATTAAGTTTTCAATTAAGAGGCCTGGTAATCAGTCCAATCAAGGGCACCACACAGTAAATATGTTATTTGCTGCTTTAGTACCTTGAACTGTTTTTAGCTTACTCTATCCTTGGAGGAATTCCTGAGTTTTTTTCTTGCATGCTCTGAAGTAAAATTGCCCTTTCATGACAACTGAAATGGAAACCAATTATCTAGCAATTCCAAGAAAAAAAGGTACACATATATTAAGATGCCTATCTTAAGCTTCTCAAACACATAGGACCTGAAACGTAATCCTTTTTGGCATGATGCAAGACCTTCCTTTCTAGTTAGATAGCAAAACCCACCACACTTGTAACTCCCATGCTATTCCAGTTGATAATCAAATATCTTAGCTCCTTTAAATACCCTACATAAATATTATTTGGCAGTGGTAGAGGTAGTCAGTTATCCCTGAAAACCTACCTGATCATGTACTTAGATAATCACAAACCTGCTTGAGCGGTATAAATCCAGTTTATAGTAGTTGTGAGTCGTATGTGGGCACTGGCTTACAATAACAAAAGTCAAATGTTAACAGAAGTGCCAGAGCAGTGATCTCTGACACTTTAAGTTCAATGAATGTTAGATGAACTGAGCAGTGTTGTACCCTTTTACATCCCTAACCAGTAACTGAGGATGCTGGTGGAGTAGAAAGGAAATGGCTTGTGAACTCTCCATGCTCACATGTCTGTTCTTTGGCCATTGTTGAAGACAGAATACTGGGCTAGATAGACCATTCAGTCTGACCATTAGGCACTTGCATTCTTCACTCCTGCCTTCCAGCAGAAGATAAGAATCAAGCCCTTGGACTATTGCTTTTCAGCATGACAAGAATGGTACTTACTGCAGTGATATCCATTCAGCTGAGAAAGTCAATTTAATAAGTCATTACTTACAAAACTTATACAGGCTGTGGTATTAGCAGGAAGGAGACAGATTCAAACGCATTCGTGGAGTTTCAACTTTTGTTTCTATGCTCACAGCTTAGAAGGACTATTCTCAGACTGCTGAAGTAGCACTTAAATTGCCTATTTTGTTGGACTGGTGGAACATGAGGAATCAGAATTACTTTAATCTTGCCACTGATTTTTCTCCTGTGCACTCAACAAAGTATAGGCTTATTAAGGAAGTTAGGGAATGTACAGCATTGGATAGCACTATCTATGAGACAGCAGCTCATGTCTACAAAGTCGAGATTTTTTCTGATAAACATATCTGCAGTTTTGCTTAATCTAAGTTATTAATTAATCATATCAATTTAGCAAAGGCATAAGCCATTGTAGACATCTCTGGCATTCCAGTTTAGTAAAGATGCAACTCTTTGCAGAAGTCATCTTTTCACCCACCTTCGCTGTGGTGTTTTTTAAATATATAAAAGAGTTCGTATAGTAACTCTATCCCTTATCACTTAAAAATCAATTAACATTTTTTAAATGTTCAATACAGGCATAGTTTTGTTCTACTGTCTTATTGCTTAGAAGGTCTGTGGGACTAACTGCAAAAGTATAGGCAATATAAATCAGTATTTAAATTATATATTACATGTTTATTATGGGTGCAAATTTCTTTAAAATTTACATTTTATGAAAAATCAGAAGTATTTACAATTTTTGTAAGATAAACTTGTATGCTCTAATTTACAGTCTGACGTAGTAACAATTCATAAAAATTCAGATCCTTTAGAGTTGTGTTTACAAATTAATTTTCTTAGGAGGCAGCTACAACGGATATTGCTGTATACACAAGCAAGAACCAGCTTGCTACATATGGGTTTTTTATCAGATAGCTACATGTACTTTTTACATTGTTTTTGAATTTCTTTACAAAAAGTCTATATAAACTTGTATGGCTTCAAAATTGTAACCTGCACCCAATGCAAATGTATGTATAATCACCTGAATGAAGGCTAGTTTAAAAGTGCTGAAACATAACTACTTCATTTACCTTCAAAATGAAAGTTAATACTTGATTAAAAATAGCAATACAATTTGGGGTTTTCATTAATAAAATATTGTCATGTTAAACACAGTTTGATTGCAAAGCAGATTACAATTAAGATTCCAGTAAAAAGACGGTACCATATTATGAGTTAGAAATTTACCATTTATAAGATTAGCAAACTAAGAGCCAAATATACTTTTCCAATCAAATCTACAGTATGGTATGTGCTTAGTGCTAACAATGGAACTCCTGTCTGCAAAAGTTTGTAGTATACATTAGAGTTTATGTAGCCTCTACAAAGCTTAATTTCTTGTAAAGTTTCAGCAGTCCAATTCATTACTGGTTTTGTATGAATTAGTTCAAGCACATTTTATTGTTTTAATGGAGAATTTGAAATAGATACTGGTATTCAAAATGGTCATATGAAATTCCCATGTGCAGTTTATTGAATTATTTTGCTCCAATACTTGATTTTGGCATTGAAAAAACACTTGATAATACAAATACATAAAAGATTTCGTAAATTAGTGACTTGCTTTAAAAAACATTACTAGTATGTCACTTCCCTGTGCTTAGGCTGTGGCAAGCAGATTAGATGACAATAAAAATAGTAAAATTGGTGGTTATAGAAAAAATTTAAACTAATAGAAATAGCAGTACTTGTCATCCTGCTGCCATAAAATACCCTTCTAAAATGCTATTCCTCCCAAAGTACTATGTTTACATTCACATCACACAACCCTAAAAGCACTCGAAGTCCAAAGACTTGCAGTCAAAGTGAAGGGAAATGCTGTTTGCTTCTAAAAGTTTGCTTTTACCATATTCAGTGATTTTTCAGGATTCTCATCTTTGGTGACGTTAAAGTTACTATCTCAAAGTTTCCAAGTCCTGCATGATGCATCTTCCCTTTACTACAACTGTATTTATTGCAATTACCCCATGAGGAAGTAATCCAGTATTTTAAACTTCTTTTAAAACAACCTCCAGTTTTTGCAAATCTGCCTTCTACATAAATCCCAGTCAAAGGAATTTTTCGAAAGTTGTGTGTATTATACAAACACTGTGCTTTCTTGATGAAGAGCCAGACTTTGAAAAAGGAAGTGAGGCACATGAATAACAAATTGGATAGGCACAGGCTTTTTAAAAAGGCACAAATGTTATGCAATTCATATAAAAATAAATTAAATCTACAGCATTAATTCAAACAATCACAACGGCCATAAAGTTTACCAACTGCAGAAGTAAATCTCTGCTGTGTTTTGCAATTTTGTAACACATTGCACTTAGGAAAAAACCCCTATATAAACCAACTTACATGTTAATAATATATGATACATGGGCATCAAGTTACATTTCTTTTATACATCTCTAACTGGGCTGGTTTTGTGGCATGAGTGGATAGAAGAACTGCATGAGACTTTGCCTCTGCTTTCTTTAAAAACTGGCAATGAAAGAATCTGAAAAAATAATATTACTTATGGAAAGCTCAAATATTTCTTACTTGCTCTCCTACATTTTTAGGTTTAATGTTTACAGTATAACATACAATTTCATACTTTCATTACAGCTATGGATTACTGTTTTGATTTCATCTATATAAATTTACTAAAATTTCAACAAATTTTCCCAAATATTGCCATTGATCATTTACAGACAGTGTTGAAGTTAACTTCAGTGCTATTATAAAGTAATAAAGTTTGAAAAATGACTTTTAAAAGTGCATTTTCTGCTCTGTAGTTCAGCCTCAAAGTAGGTCAACATTTTGAAAAAATTAATGCATGTTAAAATAGTGTTTGAAAAGTAGAGAGGACAGAGTGAGCTGCTTGCACTCCTTTGATCCAATGACTTTTCACAAGTACGTCAGCAGTCTGCCATATACCGTCCTGCAAGATAAAGGTAGGTTTTTTGCAGTCAGTAGATAAAACAGATTTTGTCAGTATTTTCCTGGGAGCAGTTTGAGTAACTATGGAAAAACAAAAAACCTGTGAAACAGTTTTCAGTCATATTTTAATGAAAAGTAAGTATTTATGCATCACTTATTTAACAGTTTCATATTTTATAATTTAACACTGTAAAATATATAATATTAATTTGTATATATAAGCATGTCAGTGTCTTACCAGTGGCAAATCTCTTCTTAAGGAGGGAAAGCCGATAGCCAGTGCCTACAAGCTCTACATCTACTCCTGAAAGGGTGCTTCCTTCACTAATGAATTGCACTGCAAGTGTTGCTGGTTTACTGGGTCCTTCTGAAAGTTCAAATTTTGCCCTGAGGGATCCAGAACCTATAAAAACAACAAAACCGAAAAGCTGGTTGTTTTGCAAGAACAAGACAATCTCCCAAAATTTTTAGTAGTAAGAAGTGAAAGTAACATGGTGACCTTTGAGATCTATTCCTAGCGGCAGTCCTACATAAATTTCCAAAAGAGATGAGAGTAAAAGTCTGTTTTTTACAATAATCTGTTTAAGACAATGACTAGTGAATGATTTAAAGAGAACGATACACATTTCTGCAAGATTATACAGAATGTGTGTATCAGCCTGGTATTCACTTATTACCTGATTGGTTCCTATAATCATCATTTATGTTTGCTGCTCTGTAAGTACTTACTACCACCTAGTACATCAGAATATTTAAATGTTGTCACAATCTGTCTGGATGAATGTACATGAACAAAACCATTGGAAGAAATGCAGCTATACAGTAATGTACCCAGAGGAAAGAAATTTTTATTTTTCCAATAAACACAAGGTCTGATTAAATACTTTTCCCCACAAATTTCAGTTGATTTTTCAGAGACAGTGGTGAAGTGTCATCACTTTGATGCTATTATAAAGCAGTAATAGTTCAAAATTACTTTAAGTACATTTCTGTAGTCAATGCAAGGCATTTAAACACCACCCACCCCCAACATAGTTACTAGTCTCTTTTTCTGGCTCTTAAACAAGACTTTTCTGTTCTTGCAAAATATGCTGGGGAAAAATGAGATTTAAATAATTAGTAATGGAATAATGAAAGTAAAATATTTTTACTTCTTCAAAACAACTTGCTATTCCTAGTTAATAGGAACTGCTAAATGATGAGGAAAGTTAGTAACTGAAATGTTACTGGGGTAGAAGCAGGAATTAATGAATTAAATTGTTTTATGTAATGGCTTGTTCTGGATAAACTTGGCTTAAGGTCCATTTGATTTCTTCAGTAGGTCTGTCATAGCTTGGGTAAATTGGAACTTCTTTCCACTGCAAGTATGGAAACTCCTATATTCAAGTGTTCTGAAAGTTTGGTCTGTGTTTTATCTCTGTCTGCAACTGACAGCTCACATAATGTGTTGGACCATAAAAAAACCCAAACCTTTTTACCACCCTGTACACCAGAATAAAGAAGACTTGAAGACATTTCTCCTAATATTAACAGTGTGCAACTTGTCCCTTTTTTCTGTAAGAAAGACCAGCATAGTATTACTTCCTCTTACCTACTGAATTGTGAGTACTATGTGCTTATACTCAAAGAAAAGGGGAAGAAAGATGGTGCGAAGAGAAGGGAATATAGCAGAAACAGTAGGATATGTGCAAGTCTACTGAACACACACAAGATGCAATCTGTATCACTGCCAGCCCATTTTATGCTGCTCTGCAGGTATACAGTAACTCTCCTTCTGGCTGCATTTGTGTTTTAGTATGATTTTTGATTTTAAAAGAAGCTCCACAGTTTGGAAAAGGGAAAAAAAAGAGGGCTATCCCTGCATAATCGTAATGGAAGACAGATGGCAAAGAACTGTGAGATCAGTGAAGGACAAAGTACACCAGACTACAGCAACAACCTCAGTCAGATGAAATTCTCTCTCATTTTGTTTGAATGATGACCACAACTTTGCAGCCTTTGCAGGAATCGAAGTCTTCCCTTTCCCAGCTTGTGGCTATACTTACAAGCCATACTTACAAGCAAATCTGTGCTTTCATAATGCCCTTCACGAAATTCTTAACAGGGCTAAAAGCCTTTCCTTTATACCACGAGTTCATTTCTCCACAGAGGCTCTGAGGATGAGATGCTTCCCTTTGGGTCCTGTTTCTCTGCTTCAGAAAAACACTGCACCTGCAGAGGCTACAAGGGCTGTGCCATCAACTACACCTCATGGAAAGGTAGCTGGGCAGAGGACAACTATTGGTACCTTACAAAATGCTATATAAATTACCACTCTGAGCAGATGTGCGTAGATCCATTTTCTTCCTGGAGTTGTATATGGTCAAAACAAAGACCCTCAAAATGTTCTTCAAGAATCATCTATTGTTGAGTCTATCTCAGCACAGGACTTTTGGATGTTTTTTTTTTTCTTCCCCCAAGTTCTTCCACTTACCTCTTTCTACTTTATTTCAGTTGTCAGTGTGTGGGAAGACACAGATATTAAACACATTTTCCTTTGAATAACTGCTCATTTCCAAATAGCATTGATGTAATAATTTCTTACCCAGTCTAAACTATTTTAGAGCTACTAACTGCTTTCAGGGGGCTTCACTATTTTTCCTTTTATAGGTAATTAATAAATTTATATTTTGACATCTCACTGTTAATGGAATCTCTCAGGAGGAAATTAATTGAGAAGAAGGTGAACTGGTCAACAGGATACAGCATGAGAAGATGTGTAAGCAGGCATGAGGGCATAGAGGCTAAAATGATTACCTTTTTACTGTTAAAATTTTTCTGTACAAGAAGACAAAACAAAAGAGTTCAACTTGCCTCCATTCTCAGACTTCTCCGAAATGCTAGATATTTTCCAATATGCTTTCATCTGGTCTGCATTCCTGTAAGGGAATGGTAGGTTAGTTATAAGCACCTGTTTTAGCATATTATTTCCCTAGCTTTACACTAGTACGTTACAGACATCTCTAAACAGAGATTTATAAAAATACTTGATCGTTTTAAGGTAAGTTTGTGGAAAACCATACAAAGCAAACAGGAAAAGAGAAGGGTGTGTCTGCATTGCCGCAGAGCAGCGGAGCTCAGAAGCACACACCACTTTTTTATACAGTTAACACTGTTCTGTGCCCTGGCTACAGCTCCACAACTCAAACCCCTTTGTAGTCTCAAAGGGTACAGACAGGCCAATACCCCTGGAGCAGTTTGAAAGCTATGTCTTTGTGCGCCATGATGATGGTATGAGGGGGAGCAATGTTGTTTGCTCTCCCCTATGTAAGACTCGTGGCAGCATAGATTTTATTCCATTTCTGTTCTAGTAGAACTAGTTGGTGTAAGTGGCATAGGGTTTAAGCTAACTTCTGACACTTTAAAGGGGCAGAAAAGGGCACCAAGCACCAAAGCCTCTAAGCTGACAGGGCATTTTATCTCCTGGAGCACTTTGCAGCAGTTCCATCAAAGGAAAGTCAACAACATAAAGCTGTGAGCAGCATGAAGTGCTGATAGATTTGAAATTGCTTTTGGCATTGGTGTAGCTGGAGTGAAATGCTCACACAAGTAGCACAGATAGTAGCGGTTACTTGCAGGAGGTCACGTTATAAAACATTTCTGTTTAAAAAAACAAGACCCCACCACCCGATCCACTAGACCAAACAGGTAGCACACCACAAATACTAGAGCTGCCTGGGAGATGACCTTTTTTTTGTTGTTTGTTTTGGTCAGCTTTCCAGGCTCAAAATTCTGGCCCTGGGTAGTTGCCTACGTGAAAGAGAGAGAATCTGGGCTCAAGTCCCTTAATCTGATGAACCTGTAATGAAACGGTCACTAAGATTTAAGTCTTCCTAGCTAACACTAGGTGTTCTGGGTGGGCATTCCTGCTCTCACTCAGGCTTCGTTACAGAGGGGTTTATGGAGGAAGCCTGGGCAGGGAGACTGGCTTCACCAGAGGTTCTAGTCATGTTGTTCAGGCAGGGTAGTGAACCTGCCCTTGGCTCAGAATAAGCTTAAGGTCATTTGGTGAAAAGTATTGCTTCCCTGAAATACCAAGTCAAGAAAAACTCAGTCTTGCTGGGATTTTTTCCACTTCAAATGATACTGTATTACTACTTTGTCCAATTAACACATTTAAATGTATTGCCTCCAGAAACATCAGAACTTATCTGATAAATGGATCAGGTTTATTTTAATTCTGACCCTTGCTTTAGAAGGTAAACTGATCTATAAGTAACAAGGTTAACAAAGCCTGACTTCCTTCAACTTGGGATTGTTTGCCCTCTTTGCGTTAAAAAGACCCTCTTGGAAATAAACAGTCCAGGAATTAATGTTACAGCTCGGCAAGTACCTAGTGCTGCCAAACCACAGGCGCAGTGGTTGAATTCTGCTCACCTTTTGCTCCAGGGATATACTGCTCTGTCTAGTCCCACTACCTTCTGCTTGTTTTCACAAACTTGTAGAAATATAACGACCTGAGACCTGTGTCTCACTTTCAAGTGCTACAGTAAATGGAGGCTTAGAAGGTGGTGGCAGGTAGCTGCTAGTCAGATAATAATCTGCATGATGCTTGAATTGTGAGACAATGTTACATGGCTTCTGAAGAGCTCCTCAGTTACTGAGGTTTGTTTTAAAACCATTTCAATTAGAAGATAATTTTTGAGCTAGAACAATCAAGAAATCTTTTTAAGAACTGCATTTCTTCTACTCTCTCTAATATAATCCACAGATACAGATATATTTATACACACACACAAAATGTTATTTAACTATTAAGAGATTTTGGTTTCAAATTACTGTATTAAAAATGTCTATCCTGTCTATTGGCCAAAAGAAAGCAAACATTGGAAATCTCATAAAGGCTTGTATTATTACATGGTTGGAATGCGTGCATATTGTCTCATTTTAGTTTATGTGAATTGGCTGCACATGACCTGTTTCGGACCAGAAAATATCCTAAACATCTGATACTACACAGTTTATGAAGACAAAAAAAATTAGCTGTTTCTTCCAGTGAAATTTTTCAGGCTGTCTGTGACACTAATGAATACACTGAAATTAATCTGAAATAATAAAAAGAAAATGATTAATATTACCATTTTGCAGGTGGAAGTGATTGCATGTTTGTTACTCCTCCATCTACTGGTACCACAACCTGGACATTAGACAGCATACTAGGCACATTCATAGACTCTGGATTGTACTTATAATCCACTCTCACATCAGTAGTGCTAGCATTACATTTCCAGTAAGTTGCAAGATTCAAGGGAGTGGACTGGATGCCATTTGAAGATACCTATAAAAGAATAAACCATGGAAAGCAGCTTAATTCAAATACTCCCCGTTTGGGCAGAACTGGGGAATGATGGTAACAAATACAACTCCAAATCCTGACAAAAGATCAAGAGAACAATTGACCTCTGAGTCCTTAATTGCAGAATTCTGAAGACTGTTGCAGCCTAAAATAATTCCTGTTTGTTTAATTTTAAATTTAAATAATTAAAGAAGTTTAAACTCCCTCTGGCCCATGAGGTTCCTTCCTGTTCTGGCTTTTATAAGGCAAAATAGTTTTGTTTTACTCTTGTGTTCTGCCTCACACCAGAAGCATGCTTGCAGCAAAATGACTTCATCCTTAGCAGTTGTGTGCTATACCAATTCAGCTGCCCCAGCAGCAGAGGGCAATACCTGTCATTATGGGACAGGCAGCCAGCAAAACAGTTCTTGCCTACTCAAAGCATTATTTTCGTGCTGCAGGAGGTTTGGACTCTGCTTCTGTAGCTGAGCTTGTGCTACTGCCCTGCTGCATCTCTACCACCTTCCTAGTCTATCTGAGGAATCTTCTATGTCCTGGTGTGCCCTCTCGCCTTTCCCTGGCAGCCCAGAACCTTTTCTATCAGCCAGGCCTTCCACATGCCAATGCCTCAATTTTCCCCAACAGTAGAGATCTTAAATAGATATCATTCTTCCACAGTACTCATTCTGCAATTCAAAGAAATGTTTTGTTCCATCTTTCTCAGCAATTCTGTGTGCCTAACATGCTTTTTATAGATTCAGTACGCCAAGATTTTAAACTATATTGGTAGGATGTGGAAACTACAATGGTATTACTAGCTAGACTGACAGGCTATTTTGTTTTTTGATGTAGACAGTTTTCTCAGACGTTCAAACACTTCAATGCAGGCCTAGCAAATATCTGTTCTCCCTTTGATGTGAGTCTGTCTGTCTTGAATTTTCGTGAAGATTTTTTATTGACAGCCAGAACATCTCCTCACAGATTCACAGAATAGTTGAGGTTGGAAGGGACCTCTGGAGGTCGTCTGGTCCAACCTCCCTGCTCAAGCAGGGCCACCTTGAGCCAGCTGCCCAGGACCACATCGAGACAGCTTTTGAATATCTCGGAGACTCCACAACCCCTCTGGGCAACCTGTTCCACTGCTTGGTCACCCTCACAGGAAAAGTGTTTCCTGATGTTCAGAAGGAACCTCCTGTGTTTCTGTTTGTGCCCATTGCTTCTGGTTCTGTCACTGGGCACCACTGGAAAGAGCCTGGCTCTGTCTCCTATCTACCCTCCCTTCAGGTATTTATATACATTGATGAGATCCCCCATAAGCAGTCTCTTCTCCAGGCTGAACAGTTCCAGCTCTCTCGGCCTTTCCTCACGGGAGAGAAGCTCCAGTCCCTTCATCGTCTTTGTGGCCCTTGGCTGGACTCCCTCCAGTATGTCCGTGTCTCTCTTGCAATAGACAACCCAGAATTGGACACAACACTCCAGGTGTAGCCTCACCAGTGCTCAGTAAAGGGGAAGGATCACCTCCCTTACCTACTAGCAATACTTTGCCTAATGCAGCCCAGGAGACCATTTGCTGCCTTTGCAGCAAGGGCATATTGTTGGCTCATGTTCAACATGGGTGTCCCCCAGGACCCCCAGGTCCTTTCCTGCCAAGCTGATTTCCAGCTGGGTGGCCTCCAGCATTGTTATATCAGTGCACGGGGTTGTTCCTCTCCAGGTGCACTTCTTCTTGTTGAACTTCATGGGGTTCCTGTCACCCCATTTCTCCAGCCAGTTGAGATCCCTCTGGAGGGCACAATGACCCTCTGGTGTATCCAGAGGGTCCTCCTAGTTCAGTGTCATCAGCAAGCTTGCTGAGGGTACACTCTACCCCACTATCCAGATCATTAATGAACCTGTTAAACAGGACTGCAAACTTAGTATTGATCCCTGGGGTATACTGCTAGTTACTGGCCTCCAACTAGATTAACCGTTCAGCCAGTTTTCAATCCACCTCAGTGTCTGCTCATCCAGCCTATAATTCACCAGCTTCTATATGAGGATGCTGTGGGAGACAGTGTGAAAAGCCTTCCTGAAATACGTATAATAATAATAAAATAATAAATAATCCTGAATAAGTAGACAATATCCACTGCTCTACCCTCATCCACCAGGGCAGTCATTTCATCATAGAAGTTTATCAAATTGGTCAAGCATGACTTTCCCTTGGTAAATCCATGCTGGCTAGTCCTGATGTGTGCCTGCAAATGGCTTCCAGGATGACAAGTTCCTTTATATTGTGAGAGGTCTGAATGTCATATGTTCTCATATATTACAATTCATCAGCTACAGCACCCCAAACTGATGCAATTATAAAATCAAAACCAGTACAACTACAAACTCAAACAACCCCCCACCAAATCCCCTAAATTCAAGGAAAATTTGATTTTGCTCACACATACCTAAAGAAGCAGTGTTTGAAGTTTGTACACATGAATTGGAGTGACGTGTGAGCAAGCTGAAACTGGTCATGAATCCAAGGGAATGACATGAAGCATAGCAGGAATGCACTAAGCTTACGCATTGTAAACAGTGACATACCCAGAATTGGTCTAGATGAGGGATGACAGTTTGTCTGCATGCTAGCAGACAAAGAACAATTCTTTTAATTTCTGTGTAGATATCAAGTCTGCCAGAGTTCCTTAAAAAATTCCAAGCGGAAAGAAGTGTTTACCTGATACTTTAAAACATCTACATTGTAATAGGATGCAGATGGATTCTGCTCTGATAATTTCTTGAGGTAGACAGTTATAGCTTGCATGTTCATCCAAAAATCCCTAGTACTGGAGTCACTTTGTGATTGATCACTACAAACAAAAAGAAAGGTAGGAGTCAGAAGGCAACACTGAATTTTATTATTTTGGATGTCTAAAAATTAAGATTAGATCTTTCCAGTTCTTCACTATTTCAAGCAAGAATTTTTTCTAATACTTTATAACACACAATCAAGACAAATTAACTCCTTGTTGTATCTGGTAAAAAGTCTCCTTCCAGGTTGTGGGGCAGTGAGTTTTCTCCACTGATGATCTCCATCACAAGATGGAGTTAATGCTGAATTTGGATTTTACATTTAATAAAATACAATTTTAATACAATTAGATGCTGTGAGGATGTGTGGGAGGTGGGGATGAAAGTGGTATTTCAAAATGAACATTATCCAATTTGGTATAAAACCTAAAATGATAATTAGCTTGGGTTATGACATAGATTCACTAATGCACTGAATTAAGCTTTGTGCTGTATTTGTTACCATACTTTCATATAGTTGTAGAGAGTGTAAGATTTCAAATTTTTTTCAGTTAAAAGTGATTTTCAAATTATTATAAACAATTGTTTCTGAGATACTTATAGTTGCATTTCACCTTAGTAACAATTTATTATATCACTTCAATATGTAGACAAGAGTGCGCATGACTGCAGAAGCAAAATCCTGTTTGGGAGCTACTGGAGCATGGTGTTCTGCTGATGAAGAATATTTTCAGCTCTGGTTGCATCAGGTTTATTTTGAATAAGGATGAAGGTTTTAAGAAAACTGACTCAAAACCAAAATTCAAATCACTTCAGAATCAAAGACCTCCTCTGAATGTCTGTGGATGCAGTGTAGAACTGCATCCATCCCTAAGAAGGAGTGCAGAGTGTGTGGGCAGATTGAAAGCTGACAGTAAATATGACTGCAATGGGTTGAATGTCCTAGAACAGTGACTTACATACCAGTAGTCTGTCCAATTTACTTAGAATTTTGTTCTCAATACTATTGTGATTAATGAAATTTCCATTTTCAGTAAAATATATAAACACTTACTTATCACTACAGAGATCTTCCACAATTTAAATAAATGAAACCAGTAGTAAAATCTTTCTGCTGCTCCACAACCAAGTGCAATTCAAATCAGAAATTCTGACATCACCACAAATATCACTCTCATTAAAAACTTCAATCTCAGTAAAATACCAAGCAAATGATACCCTTTGTAGTATATGATGAAAAGTCAAGTTATTACTATATGGGTTTAAATTCGTAAATATCTGTTACATGCATCTTTTCCAATTAGAGGTGAAGTGTTACAGCACTCAGACAAGAATACTACAAGAATACATTTTCACTTTTTTGCAAAACATACTTTTTCAGTATAATTCACTTGGTCAGATAAAGCTCTGCTAACATTTCAGTTATAAACTGTCATGTCAAAAAGAGATTAATTTTGTATGAATCATTCATTACATTAAGTATGAATGATCAAAATGAAATTAAATACAAAAGAATGGATGCATATATTTGATTCTTTATTTCAGTAATTTAAAAAATGTAGCATCTAAAAGCATTTAACTTGTTTTCAAATTATTTCTCCAATAAATGAAATAGAAACTGCTCAGCTGAAACAGATCTCTGCTAAATAATTACAGCTTTTATTATTTTTTTTTTAAAGATCTCCAAGTGCTGTGATTTCAATGATTATCCTACATCAGCAGGCTTTTCTTCTAAGAATTCTCCCAAGCATGCTGCTAAACACCTGAGAGATACAGTTATGTAATGGATCTGATCTACTGTAGAAATGATACAGCTTAAAAATATGCTGGTAAGTGACAAATGAGATCAGGTGTAGCTTCTACTTCTTGTTTTCCATTTAAGGCTACTGTTTCATCATTTAATCTTACCATTGTTACTACTGTATAAAGAAATAATTTATAAAATGCACGTAAAAACACAGCTACATTTACAAACTATTTTTTATGGTTCCTGTTATACCCAGCCCAAGTTTCAAGTCCAGTAATCACTGAGATTTTTAATGGTGGCAGTGGAGAACTAAGCTCAACAAGATTAGTTCAGGAAATTAAATTATGTATAAGCAAATCAACAAGACTGTAGAGAATTCTGATGTACATATACAACAACTCACACTTTACAAATCATGTAATTTACTACTATGTTAAAAAAAACCCGCAAAACCTGTATACAAGTTGTGCATTTGGAAGAATCTGCTCTAGTTTGCTTGTGTTTTTCACTCTGAAGCAGAGCACAGCTGGAGATGGGTTGCTGGTGAAGACTTTAATAATCCCACTTGGGAATGATACTGTCATATCACCAGTAATCTTCACAATACATCTAGAAGAGAATGAAAACATCAGTTTCATTGCAACTCATTAACTGCCTAGTTTTAGTACTAATACTAATACTAATTTTAAAGCAATCACTTTCACAATCTGATGAACTGAATTAAAAACAGAAAATCAATTTCAAATGAGGGTAATGTGACAATGTACTGCCACTTTCAACTTGGAAGTCAGGTGAAATAAGTAAAGAAAAAAAGTTTAGCTGGTTAAGCATACAGTAGTCTTGGTGGATATTTTTTAGGCTTTGAAAACATGGCACAACTATGCTTAGGCCAAGGCCTAAGTAGGATAGCAAGGGATGTGACAGAGGGAATGAGGTGCTTTTACTTGCCCAATTTTACACGTAGCACCTATCTGACTATGATAAAAACCCTTCTCATTTTCAGTGTTCTCATTGAACACATTTTTATAAAGCAGGGATATATGAGCTCCTAGCAGGATGCAGGCCAATACAGAGCAATAAACCACTGTTGCCACTTATACCAGGGAAAAAAACCTCCTTTGAATCCCCGTTCTAACATATATACATTTTCCCCCCAAATATTAAAAGTAAAACCAGTGTGTTTTCTTATTGTAACTTATTACATTCAAAACAATTCACTATTTAACTAACTTTGTGGGATCTGCTCCTTTAAAGTACGCGTTAACAGATTCAGTAAGGGCTACTGCAACAGGCAAGGTGTCCTGGTTTCCAAGGCTGACAGGGCTGGGACCACGTGAAACACCTAGAATACATACAGTGTATAGGTTTAATTTTCAAAAAGCTTAGCAACAGATTTCAGAATGGTTGACTACATCTGTAATTTTCACAAGAGGTTACTACCATCAAGGTCACAGTAGCATCTGAAGTATTACCTGAAAAGTGTGTAGAAAAATATAAACATAGTACAGCACCACTGTACCATTGAAACACTGCTTAGCAGCCTAAGAAAACAGGACTACAGTATGACATTATGTAAATGGACAGACACAAGGAAATACATGTGAGACAGAGAAACACTGCATTAAAATGGCTACTGATGAAAGTGAAGTCAACAGATCCAAAGGAAATTAGATATTGACTAGAATACTTAAAAAAAAAAAAAAATCCCTACTGTATGCTTATTGTATAGAAAAAGGTATGATAAAATGGTCATGGAAATGCAAAGAATTAATTTACAGTATGCATGAACTTAAATGCAAATACATTAATATTACCACACATAAGTGAACAGTTGAATATTCTTTTACCTATTTCAGCCAACAAAGATTACAATTCCCAAGCAGAAATTTTTGGAGAATCCTTCACAGATGCCTGTGCCAACACAACACAGTTCCAATGCATAGCTATAAAAATCAACTCAGACTTCATGCTAAGGCTTTTTGAAATGTGTGTGTACAACTGACAAAACCAGTTGTCATGGGATTTTACTTTTCACCAATTTTCTATATGTGTACTGAATATAGAAGATAATACTGGAAGGTCTGTCTTTTTATTAGTGCAGTAGTGTAGTGGAGAGCATCTTACTAACTTTTTGTGCCACTGCTGAAGTGGCCTGTATCACATAATATTATCCATCACAAAGGAGACACAATCTTTCTCGTTTCATGAGCAAGTAAGACATTTTTCTTTCATATCATAAAGTAGAAACAAAATACTTCCATATAATATTGCTCATGGCAAACATCCTATTTGCTCTAAAACAGTGGCTGTGCCTTCTGAGGTTTTTCAGAGTAAAAAAGGAAGTTGTGACCTTGTTCTTCACAGAAGGTCTAACATGAGATACTAGACCTTAAATTCAGAGATAAGTGAAAGAAGTAGTAACAACAATAGAGTAAAAGACAGGTGTTGGTCTAATTCTACTACCTCACACCTCACCCTCACTCTCCATCATGATTTCTTGCCTAAGGTAGTAAAATGTTCAGAATACTTCTCAGCACCATGAAAAAAATCTCACTGCAACATTTAGGCCTCCTTAGATCAAAAATTATACTCTAGTCAGCAGTGTTCAAAAATTCTTAGATGAACGAAATATTATGACACTGGCTGCAAAACTCTAAGTTATTTACTTTTTTTAATATGAACAATAAGTTGGTTTTATTTATTCTTTCAGACAACACATGGGCCATGTTTCTAAAATTTTTCTTCTCTCACTGAAAACTACCAGCAAAAGCTGTGATTCTCAGTAGTCTCAGGAATCCAGAAAGCATGACTTCAAGAAGCAAATGTGCAGTAAAATAATGAGTTAACAACAGCCAGAATTCTGTTTGGTGAAATATTGAACTCCAGAAGTATTCTCCACTAAAGCCAAAATATGCACTCAATGGATGTGGCACTATGTTTGCTGGGGTGTTTTACTGTCTTTTTCCCCAATTTACTAAGGAACAAGAAACAATTGCAAAGCAGATAGGAGGTGATTACCCTGCATTAATTATACCAGATTGTTTACAGATGTATACATTCTTTTAAATTCTTTTACTTATAATGGCCTTCTGTATATTTTTATATTGATATTTGAAAATTATACAGAGTAATGCAAATATATAAATGATATTCCTATCAGTAAAAGACAAATACTGAATTTTTGTCTGAAGAGTGAAATTTATCAGGAATAACACCACTATTTTTACTTTTTGGGGGGAACACTAAAGCAAATATATATATCTCTCTATATCTATCTATATACATTTCTGACATGTATTTAAGGGACTACAAATGAGATAGTTTCTCTCTTACTTGCTCTGCCCCCACTGTTCATCACCTTTTGATTCATAAAAATCTATGCGTTCTCCTAAAAACCAATAAATTGAAACAAGTGTAACCACATAACCTAAGTCTGGAAGTCATTGTTTTGTTGCCTTGCTGCTGAAAATACAATGCAATGCAGTGATATCCAGCTTCAGGGTCTTCCACGCCTGCTGCAAGCTCTCAGATGGATGGGGCATCACAGAGCTGCGCCAAGGTGGTCTAGCTGCATTGCAGGCTGCAGCCCAGCTCAAGGCTCCAGTTCTAGCACCTTCGGCAGTAACAGCAAAGCTGGCTTTGAAACCCTGCCACGTGCCTCAGCCCCAACCACCATTAACAGCCCCTGAGCTGTGCTGACACAAGAGCTAGTGACACAACCATGCAAACAGGTACATTGACACAGTCAAGGAGGTTGCCAAACTGCAGAATAAAAGACTGCATCATTGGTCATAAAAAGGGCAAATAAATAAACCTGATCAAATGGTTTTAGTTCTGTTTAGAAACAAAGATTCAGACAATTTTAATATTGGCTAAACAGCTGTCATGAAAATAAAATTTAGTTTTTAAAAAATATTACCTTTATTATGTGTATCTTCAAAGATTTGTATTATAGAGAGAGACATTTTTACCTACTTGTCTTACGAGAATAAGGATTGTCAAAGTAAAAATGTATTCACTTCACTTGAAAGAAAATAGCAAAGACAAACTGAAGAAGCAAGACCAAGTTTCAGGTTGGTTGGGGTGAGAAAGGTAGAGACAGAAGATTACGTTATATAAAAGTGGTTATATCAAGTTGTGGTGATTTCAGCAACATATAACTTGTTAAGTAGTTGAGCTTCCGAGCTACTTGTATCTGCCAGGTACCAGAAATAGCTGGAGAAACTTGTTTCAAAAGAAATACAATTTTATTAGGTGTAGTGTATTAGGATGATTAGCTGACATGTAAATCTGCTTTAAGTACAATACCTGGTGGTGTCTCACAAAGCTTTTCAATTGTAGGAAGATTTCCAATCAAAAGATCATCCTCTATTACATTTAAATGAAACAAAACATTGCAAGAGAACAAAATATTTCAAGCAAAACCAGATGTTAAATAATTAAGATATGTAAAAATAATTTGCAAATTAAAATAACGCTAAAGCATAAAAGAAACATTCAATTATGCATGCTTTAAAGTTCACTTGGAAAAAGATAATTAGAGTCAACTCTCCATTATTCAGAACAAATGGAGTAAGGGAAACACTGGACTGTGCAAAAGTCAAAAGAATACAGACAGCAGTGCAGAGTATATCCTCATGCCTCAAAGTCATTCAGCCATCTGCACTGTCCTTCCCAGCCTTCCAGGACTATTTAATTCATACAGTCAGTGCATATGGAACTGACCTTGTTTATTTTTGCTAGGCCAGGTTAATGACCATGTCAAACCTCGGTGTCAGCACACACCTCCTTACCTCTGCCCTCACCTCACGATCTCACTCTGTCACTGTCTCCAACAACACACACACTCAGAGCTGGGGCTATTGATGCTGCTGCCACCAACTTTTGGTTCCTTGGCACCAGTGCTGAGGCCTAAGGATGTGAGCCTGGATGGACTTTGGCAACCAAAATATCAGTTATCTTTCTGTAATGCTTCTCAGCATTTGGGAAACTGGTGGACACTGAACTGTAGCGGCTAAGGCTGGGCAGACCTTACTAGCTTTGATCCTGCACAGGGTTGAAACAGCTCCACTGCTTTCAGTGCAGGACTGCCCCTAGAACCTGTGCAGATGCTCTCCTGAGCTGCTGAGCCTGGGTGATGAATCCTTGGCATCAGTAACATTCACAGATAACTGAGTGTTAACTCAAGAATCTGATTTAACTTGGGACTAAAGTGCTAACAGTGTTCAGGAATGAAATACTTCAGTTGTGCTAAAGAAAGAAGTTAAAGTGTCTTAAAAAAATGCAAACAAACAAAAAAACCCCTAATAAGTTTCCTTTCCATTTTTTATAACCAAATATCAAAACTGAAGGACTTCCCTTTAAAAACATAAGAAAACCTTCTGAAATTAGTGGCAACACATGAAGACTAATTTGCTTTTCATCTTCATCTTTTTTGTTTGTTTGTTTTGCTTATACTAAACACCTCTGTTTAGCTTATATACTTCACAAACTTGAAGAAAAAGGTGCATTAGTTTCATTTTTTTGAAAATTGCTATTAGAGGATAACAAACAAAATAAAAAGAACATAGAAGAACTCAATTTTGTGAACATTTATATTCATTCAAATTTATTAGTATCCACAAATATTTCTGCACCTATACAATAACATCTTCTGAACAAATAGATGACAGCATGTTGTGCTTGATGACTGGATATACAAGCATAACAAATAAGAATTCATAGAATATTAATTTTGAAAAATATTTCTCTAAAGAACATGCCATAATTGGATCTATGGTCTAATCTAATTAAATCCACTGCCCTGTCTCTCAGTGTCATTTAGAAGCAGGTATTGCAAAGGATGCTTGAAGTACCTAGACTGGACTCACATATGGAGCAACTAACTCCAATGAATGGTTTTCCTAACAGGTGGAACCTAGTGGCAGAATAACGCTATTTCTAAAATAAGTTAAAATGCTTAATTTAACTTACCAACTGTAGGCGTGTTTGCTGCACTGAGGGAAGCAGAAGAGGATATTGAGGAAATGCTCTCTGCACGTGCCAAGGGAGCTGCAGGAGGTGGACTTGAGTTGGAGGTCAACGGAGGGCTGAATGGCCTAGGCTGAACAAAAGAGATTACAAGAGTATTACACAAAGTGGTTTTAAAGAGATGAAAAAAAGACTATAAGTAGAAGAGTTCTTCATTTCATGCCACAATCAATTTCATAGTGTTTCTCAACATAGTTCCTTTAATGCTTTATCTACCCTAGTTTTTAGTATAAAACAGAGAACCCACATTTTCCATTGGAATCAATTCCATTATTTCATAGGTTATCATGATTAATTTTTTGCCTGGGTAGTTAAGTCTAATATATTTGATTATGTAGCAGCCTGTCAATAATTGTGTTACAACACAGTAGCAGAACCTAAGCCTACAGCCTTGTGTATGTGTGCAGCAAATGTGGATTTACAGAGCTAAAGGAGAGCTACTAACAAAGTGGAAGCGAGTCCAGCAGAGGGCAACTAAAATAGTTGGGTCTGGAGTACAAGAGAGAGGTACAGGCTGGAGGACCTGGGTTTGTTCAGCCTGGAGAACAGAAGCCTAAGGAGCAGTCTTTTACCAGCTGAAAGGGGGTATAAAGAAGGCAGAGTCAGGCTCTTCTCAAAGGTGCAAGAGCTACAGCAAAGAAAATTTCAGCTGAAATTAGGGAAAAAATTCTGTCTTATAACTTGTGGGACAGGTTGCCCAAAGAGACTGAAGATCTCCCTTTCTGGACATTTTCAAAACTCAGCATGTCCCTGAGCAACCCGATGCAATTTTGAAGATGGCCCTTCTTTGAGCAGGAGGTTGGCCTAGAGATCTTCAAAAATCCCTTCCATCCTAAATCTCTGGATGGTTTGATGATTCACTTAACTGTTAAGGTTAAGTAATAATCATTTTGGGATTAACCTATCTAAGAGGTACTGGAACACCTGAGGCATCTATTTTGGCTGGGTAACTGTTTTTTTGTTTTGTTTTTTTTTGTTTGGTTGGTTGGTTTTGGGATTTTTTTGTTTTGTTTTAATTTCGGTTCGATCATGCTTGTTGCTGTGTATGTGGTTTTTATACAGACTATGGGAATTGTAAAAGGAGTTGATATATAATGAAGATAACTGTCAATCTTCCAGTTGTACCCAGATAATAGCTAATTTCTAAAACAACAGTATAAAATGAATATAGCTTTGTGCAGAATCATACTTTATAGCAGAACAGTACCAGCTGAATTCTTCTTTTTAATTATGATGACATGAAGAACAGATTCCTTGGTCTAAGAGCAATTACTACAATTTTATATTGGAATAAGAAAAGAATCTCAAAATGAACCCTATTTTGACCTTATAGAAATGCAAAACAGTTTAAAAATGTTTCAGTTTTGTCAAAGCATAAGACCAGAATTTTGTCCGTAACAAGAATATGGTGAAAATATCTTGCTGCTTTGAAAGACAGCAAGAGGATCTTACCATGGTAACATTTTTCCAAGTCAGTAAGTCAAATGAAACCCAAAGAATCCTAATATTCACAGAGGAGATTAAGCGTGGCTTGGTCTGATACGCTGTCTGGGTATTTGCATTCTTTGCCACATTCCTTATCGGCAGGTGGACCTACTGCAGGCAGTGAGCAGAGATGCAGGCAGTGTGCAACCTCTCACTATCCTGATGGGCAGCTGCTGCAATCTGCCACCTCCCTTCTCCACCAACCAGCGCCAAGGGCAGAGAGAAGTCACAGCAGGGCTACTTGTGTCAACACATGACTGATAAAGATCTGCTTAATACCATTCATTCCCCAAAGCTTTGGTGATATCCCTGAATCAATGGAGCTTTGTTAATAACTTCAGTAATATTTTACATTTTGAAAACTTCAATCTCATACACATGCTATCCTTTCATTATCAAATTATTGATTTGTTCAATTAAAAACATTCAGCCGATGCAAAAATTATGTTTTGGACCTCAGTAGTTCTATTAAGAATTATTTTGTTATAGTAATATAGTTATGAACAACTTCCATGCCTATCTGGCAATGGTGAAAATTTGCTTATATGATTCTTTGAACATCAGCTGGAAAGTAACTCCACTGTAACAATATAAATGAATGGTGTATCTGAAATCAAGTTACAATGGAGAATTAAAAAAAAACAGTCAATACATACTATTTCATTAATCCCACTAAGTTTCCCAGTAGACAGTTTTGGTCTTGAAGCAGGCCTTGGAGGGGGTACAATGGTGCTTACAGAAAGAGGAGTTGTGGGCCTTGCTGAAAGAAAGCAAATTTAAGGAAATAAATTTTAGAAAGGTCACACTGAACATAAATATGTACTCACTTGAATAGAATAACTGCAAGTTATGTTTCTATTAGAAGTTCCTATTTTAGAAGATCCATTTTGTAAGATTTACCACTAATCATAAATGCTTTTAAAATAGGGCCATGTGATACCCTGAAAAGTGACTCTAAAAATGGCATCATGGGCTTTCTCCTTTTTTTTTTTTTTACACCAAATTTTGCCCACTGAAATCCCATTGACTTCAATAAATATACAGCAGCATAACAGGTAAATTACTTTGTTGATTGTAAGAACACACTAAGTCCTTATTATCTCTTAGCCAAGCTATCAGAAGTAAAAAGCAGTTAAAAAAATAGTGCCCCCATGTCCTTCTAAACCTAACAGAAATAACTAACAGATGGTAGCAGCAGTACAAAGATGCTACATTTACAAAGTCACTTTTCTGAATAGAATGAATAGAACTGTATTTTAAAATAAATGTTAGATGCCATCCAATGAGTACACCAGATCTAAAATTAACCTCAAAATAGACTGAAATCCTAATATATGACTATGTTGTTACAGTACATCCTATTATCTCCCTCAAATTATTCTGGATGGTTCTTTTTTAATTAAATCAGCTAATGTTATTTAAAATGCAACTTTTAAGTATTAAGTTTTCTCAGGCATTCAGCATAAGTCTGCTGCGGTCAAAGTACAGGAGTTTCATCAGTGACTTGGGAAGAAAAAAACTAGGCTAATACCAACCACATCCATCTTAGGAGTTGCAAACTCAAATGTCCCCAGATAAATTAACTTCTAAAACATCAGTCATTCCTGTAAAATTCTTATTATGTCCCAAGCTGACAGTGCATGCTAAACACCAAGTAGTCTGCTGCAGTACCACAGGTATTCAGTGAATCATGGCATGCTTGCCCAAATGCGCTTTACTGTGATATCATCAACACTTCAAAATACTGGGTGTTAAAAAAGAACAGTTTTAAATCCAATTTATTTAAATTTATTTAATCTGAAAATATCTATACAAAGCCATTTAGGAATGGAATTGGTTTTGCAAATTCAGTCACTTAAATTTTTGAGATCTCACTGCTGACATCCCAGAAAAACACATTCTTATTTCTAGAGAAGCAAAGCTCTGCATAGTTAAGAGAAAACAATGCTTTTAATTGAATAACTTGAATTTTTATTATTATTTCAAGCTGAATATTTACTTCATTGTCATAACTTCCAAGGAAGTTGGTGCTTACAAGCAGTTTAGTACATTCTAAGTAAAAAGATGAGTTAATTTTAACATCAGGTGAGTGATAATAACAAAAGAAAAATGAGTCCGAAGTTTGCTTTTTGGTGTCAGTTATTAGCAAAGAGCAGTACACAATGCATGCTTGCCATACCCTTATTTGTATGAGCACAAGAAGACACTAAACTATAGTCCAGTAGTGCTGAAGATGATGCGGAAGAAATTTCAGCAGCAGTGCCAGTTTCTTCAATGAATAATTGTTCATGGCATATAGTATTATTGAAAAGGTCACTTTGATCCTCAGAAGCACAGCTGTTGGAAGAATTCCCAAGCAAAGCAGAAGAGGCAAGGCAGGCATTTTCAGTTTTAAAATGCAATCTTTGGGGCTCCTTCTTGTCTGGGCTTGTGTGTCTAATTGTAAGAAGTTCATCAGCAAATGAAATCCACTGACTCTGAGACCGTGAAACACAGGATAAAGTACTGGTACTCCCTGATGGTGCTGCTGTAACACCAGATTTGCACAAAGTGCTGATGGTAAAGTCTGGTGAGGATGGGCTTGTAGACCCAGAATCTGTCTGGTGTCCAAGCAAAGACTGAGATACTCTACACCCAGGCAAATCAGTGGGAGATGAGAAGGAGCTCCTATTGTGCTCTTTCAGTGTAGCTGAAGAAAAAGGGAAGAATTGAAACTAGGACCAACACTGAAAAGATAAAAATTTCAATATTCAAAAAAGTATTCAATATCCACTGCATGAGGATTACTAGCCAGCATGAAAAATAATGGCTCTGGTAGGCTAAAAATCCCACCACTTACAAATAAAAGAAAAAAACCCCAGCCATATATCACATGTACTTCATTCACACTGCCAATCATGTCACTTTCCAGTTTTTAAGTAAACCAAAAAGTAATTTATCGTATTTTTCTCCACTTAAGGCCCTACTTCTCATGACTTTCCTTATTCCTCTAACTTCCTCCCTGTCTTGGCTTAGCTTCCTCTCATCTTTGTCTTTTCCTTCTTGTGTCCTACTCCATTTTTGTTTCCACTCCATAGTTTTCTGCTTTCATTTCTTTCCAAGTTATTTAATCAAACCTATCCTATTCTGTTCCTTCCAAACATTTTTAGCCTCTCACCCTTAACATTTGTAATGAGAAGGCCCAACATAAATGGCTGTCCAGTGAATGAATGAAGACAATGCAATCCTGAGATCTTGTCTGATATTCTTCTGTCTGCATCGACCTGTATCTAGTGAGTACCTATATGTATAAGGCATCATCCACCCCAGTTTATTTCCTCTCTCATCCTAGAATCTTAAGGCTCCTGGAAAACAGGAGTTTTCCACAATTATTCCCTGCATTTGGCTGTTGCCTGTTGCAGTAGATGACAACAGAAGCAGAAAATGCAAGGTTAGTCAATTCTCAACATCTTGCAGATTGGCAAAGCTAGGAGCAACAGCAGAGCGACATACAGAATCAAAAAAGAGAGCAACACATTTAAAAGTTCAGATCAAAAGTGTAGGTGTCCTCTCTACAGTGGTCCTTTTGCCATGAACAAGTACATTCTCTAAGCCCACGTAAACAGAGTTTTAACACAGCTTTCCCTTTCTAACAGATATTTTAAATATCATTCAAAGGCTTTGAAATACTACTGTGAATCCTGTTCAAAAAGCAATGTGGAAATGTTCAAAACTTTTAAAAATACATATGGAGGAAAATGAGGAAGATAAATAAAAAGAAGCATATTTACAATATTAATAGCTGGCTAAAAAATGTCTGTTGTGTTTGTTCAAGATAACAAAGTTAGCTTAAACTTCTAATAAAGCAGAATTATTCATGGATGACCAAAGTTTACTTCTGTGCTGCATAAACCACTGTCTCCTCAAATACCATGGTAGTTTAAGCGTTCAATGATTAACACAGAGTTACGAAACAATATCTAAAGAAATGCTTTAACAGTAAAAAGAAAAAAGTGATCTGTGGGACATGCTACATCATGATATGCAGATTTGCTGTATACAAAATAACTAATCTATGTAATTTAAGTTTTGGATTGAGATTCTCAAAAGCTTTAAGCATCAGCTTACCTATATAACCTTCAAGTTGAAGATAAAACACAGATTTCAAGGAAAATACAATCAGATCAAAGTTGTGTATTTTTTAAAGTCTTTAGAACTAAGCTGCAGTTTAGTGAGCAGCAGAACTTGATTTAAACAACAGTGTGACCTACATCAATCCAGTATTTTTTTCCCAAATGTATTAGTAATTTGTTATACTTTAGAACACTCACTTTCTACTTAACTCCATGGATCATTTCACAAGTGTAAATTCTTAGTTAACTCCTGGAACAACAATCCTTTAAATAATTATTTAGCAGATAAAGTTTGCCAAGGCACAGATGTCTTATATCTAAAATTGACTTATGCCCACAGGACACTATATTCCACCAATTTCAATGAAATGAAGGGTTCTGTGCATAAGCCTCTTTCGGGTATGAGGGCTTGTGTAGATGACTCTCCCCTAGATATGGCTACAGAGGATGTTACGGATCCAAATTACCTGTCACTACTCAGCAGCCAGAGACTACTTTCTCCACAGTTCTGCTGCCAGGAGGGACTGTATGAACATTTCCTACCCTGCTTTGACTTCCCATCTAGGCATAGCAATAAACAACTGGATACAGTAACAACCATCAGCACAACAAATTAAGTATCCTCTGCCTTCCTCTACCAACTCCCAACACCAGACCAAAGCTAGCAAAACCAGATTATTTTGAGAAAGCACCAGTTCCTTTCAGCATATTGCAGTAATAGGTATCTATATAATTTATCCTTAAATATGTCACAAATTTGGATCCACTAGCCAATAATCTTGACTGGTTACCTAAGTGAGGAAGAGACAATCTAATAATTTCTGTAAGCTAGATTTGTTAAAAACTGTAACTTTTAAGGAACACAAATTTATAGTGAAAGAATAAGTTCCATTTAAAACCCAAAAGGTTACATAGCAATGCTGGTTGCTGCTAAAAGGACATTACTAAGGCCAAGAAGAATTAACACTAGTTGAGCAGAATTCCCCTATTGATACATGTACTCTTCCTTACTGTTCTTCAATCTGTATGATTAAGCACAGAGGAAAATGGCCAGAAAGCCATGATTGTGAACAAAGAAGTGAGGTCTGTTATAACTTTTGGAATATGAATACCTAGCTAACAGAAACATTGAATGCTTCTTTTCTCAGGCATGTGGAAGGAGAGAAGTCTCTACATTAAGACAGCAGGGGTGGAAAATAGATACGCAGTAGGTAGACTGAAAAGAACTATGGAAACAGTGTATCTGCTACTGTTAGTAAATAGTAGATTCTGCTTTAAACCCCCCCAAGATAATAAACATAATAAATAATTTAAATAAATACTTTTAGTAAGCAGGTCCTAACACTGCTTTTGTTTTGGTCTCTCCTTCCTTTTTCTGAACTAGTTTCTCAACATCTCCTGCTCTCAGCCTCTTCAACACACATAACCACTCATATGCCATTTTGTCTCCCTCTCCTTCACTGCCTTTTGGATGTAAAAATGAATATTGACTATTTTTGGTTTGGTTTTTTTTTCCTCCCTCAAAGAACAGGTTTCAGGAAAGCCTGCCAGTGTCTTGCCCACACTAATATCCCTCAAAATCCTGCACCCCAAAATTCCTACGCTCCCTCCCCCTCTGCCTCCCATACTCCTCAGCCCACCCTTTTCCTCCCAATACCCCTGCTCTCAGGTGGTGCCAGGAACTCCCCCTTAATTCTAGTCTCAGCCTTGCCATTTTTATCTGGCTGCCCTTGGATTATGCCCGCACATTTCCTAACAGAATCATGGTTTCCTACAGGAAACAAGTTCCAAACAGCAAAGCTCCATGGTGCCTGTGTACTTTACTGGAAAGAAGAAACCCATCCCTATTCACAGTGCAAGCTCAGCTTGTCTCACAGTTGCTGCGACAACCTCCATTTAATCTCTGAGCCCAACCGGCTGAAAAAAATAGGATTATACGGCTAGATGGTGATCATTTTTTTTGAAAGTGAGAGAAGGTGATAAAAAAAGGCAGAAGCAAGATAGAATTTTCTTAAGGTTTCTAGTGTTCCCTCTTCCCCCTTGCTCCCTACCTTGAAAGCCTGATACACTGCATTCTCAGTTGTGTATTACTTTTAAGATAGTATACCGCTTTACAAAATTCTTTCATTTCAATAGTCAAAGCATGTCTCCTTGCAATAACTAAAAAAGCAACAACAGAACATCCTGAAGTATATAAAGAAAACATTTTCTACTACCAAATATTGTACCTGAGGAGGATGAAGATGCCAAGGAAGCTGAAGAGGAAGACTCAAGAGAACTGCTGAAGAGCGGATCCCATGCCAGGAGGTCACTGTTCCCCTTTCTATATTACAAGTTACAATTGGAATATAAATGAAAGATGTATATACTCATAAAAATCAAATGACAACTTCAGTCGTAGTTTGATAATAAATATAATAATATGATAAATAAATTTGATAAATTCTTCTTTATTAGTTAGTCTTTGCATCTGGAAATAAAAAGTACTTACAAATTGCAGGTCAAGGAACTGATTTACACAAAAGAAGACTATCTGAACTGACATTGTGGTGCAAGTTTGTGTGTGCACATACTTCATAATGTTGGTTAAATGACTGTCATTTTCAAGGAGACATATCTCTTAAAATCCATTTCTTTCAGTATATGCATACATAAGCAAGGTATACAGACCTGTCCAAATTTAGGGCTTGTAATCTGAAACACTTTACCAGGGAACACTATAACTGTCTTAATTATAATTTGAGATTTTAATTAAAACCCAGTATTTTATAATAATGTAATTATAAATATCGAGACAGATCACAATGAAGCAAATGTATTAGAAGAGGAAAACGAATAGAAATCTCCACTGTTACATAATTACTCCCTAACTTTTAAGATACAATAGATGCCCAACTTAAAATAGCAGTCAGCTGATATTTCCAATGAGTTTCCGAGTATTAGATCAAAACAAGACCAAATTTCTGCAAAATTGTATTTGGTAGAACTTTGAATTTAACTTACTCATTAGTTGGAGCAGAAAGCTTTGATTTTGTTAACTCTTCACCTAAGCAAAAGACACGGTATTATCACCAAAGCTGTGACACTCTAAAATAAAAATTCCAGCTTCATTATAAAAAGATAGTAAATATTAATGGTTGCAGTTCAAAACTAATTATGAAATATTAAAATGGAAAAGACAAAATACATTAGTTCCGATAATATAAATTCAGATACTCCTGAAAAACCTTCTACTAGGAGAGGACTACAAAGAGCAATGCATTTTGGGGGAAGTGCTGTTCACTTGAAATTTCTTCCTTAAATTACAGTTGACATAAATATTATTCTTCAGTAAATTTGGCTTGGTTTCCCACTGAAAAAAACCCTACAGGATAGAGACTAATGCTCTGTCCTCTATCTCCATGACCATGTTTGTGTTTGACTATAAAACAGAGAGAGTGTGCTTTTCTGGTTTGTGGATCATACTAAACTTGAGTGGGTAGAAGGGTTTTAAGAACTTGCAAAGGATTCTTTTCCATGGGGTCCCCCCTTTGGCTCTTGGATGTGTTCCTCATTACTGTCACAGCCAGCCTCATCTGTTTCCCAGAATAGGGAACAGCTGAGTGTATAGAAAAAGAAGAGGTATCTAGAAATGACAAGAGGAATATTTTTTCCTATTTGAAATACAGATACTTAATAAGTTTCTTTCTTCAACAATTAAAAAACAATCTATTTTCATGCTCTGTTAAAAAACTAACATAAATAGACTAAAAGTTAAAGATTCACACTTACTGGATGAATTTTGATTCATTTGTGCCTGAAATGGGAAAAAAAAAAAAGAAAGGAATAAATTCTTCTACCAACTGTTAAATAAAGTGCTTAACAGTCCCAGGGTTCTTATTTCAATTCAAATTCCTGTGAGATACTTTGCCTTCAGTGCCAGGCAAAACATTCTGAGCTTGCAGAAGGCCAGAACATGAGCCAGGACAGAGCAACCAGTGCACACCCACCAGAGCAGTAAGAAAAGGCAGGAATAAACACTGCAGAGCTGACAAAGGGAGCAGTATTACTAAACCCCTTTACAGGCTGGGGCAGTAAAATTAAACAGCTTATATATCACATGGTATACATGGAAAGAAACATTCCTAAGGTTTTCCCAATAACTCCCCTCACATACTACAGTGACTTGGTTTTAATCTAAAAATGTCAATTAAAAAGCCATTCTGTACTTACAGGACTGTGCCTCTGCTTTCAAAATGTGGCGGGGGGGAGGAGAGAAAAATCATCATTATTATTTTAATATGTTGTGCACAATATTTTCCTTAAAATCAGAGCCGTTCTTATTCTGATCTGAATATTTTACTAGCATACTTTAATACTATTTATTTATAGTATCACCTCATGGCATAAAAGGATCATTCTGTGGATTGGCATAATACATCAATAAAAGCTGCACTGTAAATGTTACATGTATCCACATTATATGATCTGTTTTAATGGTTTGTATATTATTGAGTACTAATTAGTAAACTATGTTAAAAGCTATGCTCAGCTAACTGCATGATGTATTCAAATATCTTGTGGTGGCAACAGCAGAAAGACAAAGACTGAGCATTCCCAAGACTCAAAGGAAAGTTAAAATCTGAGAAGGGAGAATTACTTAATGTTACACTGCAATAAAGTGTACCAAAGATGACCCTTGTGCACAAGAAAAAAAGAATCATTGAACTTGAACCTAGAATAAATTCTGAACATTAAAATATATGTTTACACTAAAGATTCTTTACCGCTTTTCTCTTCTATGCATTAAAAATACAAAGAACAAAATAACTTACAGATATTGCTGGAGAAAGAGTGATGTTCCCTATAGATACTTTTAATTCATCCAAGGAAGGCATGGTATATTGAGAGCTATTATTTGCCTGGACAGGTTTTATTTCTACATGGAACCTCCTGGGTTCATCATCTTCAGAGTCAGAATCACTGGATGAATAGAAATGGTTCTCTTTGGTATGTTTTTGTCAGTTAAGGTAGAAATACTTCAAATCCATCTGCTTAATCCATTTCATAATTACGCTTTACATAATGCTGATATTAAGTGAACACCACAGATAAACAATGTTGCCTAACCTCTTTGTGCACTTATATAGACATTTCAGATATATCCACTGTCCAAAATTCACAACTCAGAGTTAAAATTTAGTTTTTATAGTCCATTCATCTTCATAACGGTATTCTGTTCTGAAAGGCACTATGTCATATAACTGAACAACTGCATATTTGAAGGCATCAGGATAAATTAAAGATTCTTCAGTAGCAACACTTCTGCATGTTAAATTTATGATTTGTAAGACTCAACCAGGGATTCTAACACATGTATGAAAAACGTAGAAATCTTTTTAAACCAAGTGAAGGAAAGCCCTAGCCTTTTTAATTAGTGAAATGCCCACGGTACCTGTACCAAGCATTAACAGTAGAGGAAGCAGAAGCAGCAGCCATTATTATTTGCCCCTTTTGCAGAATGGCACTGAAAATTTTGCAGGAAAGAATGCCAGTTACACAGAAGATTGCACAGTAAACTGATCAATGTCAGCTGCTTAAAGCACTGTCATCCTTGGCAAAAAAGGAATCACAACAACAACTCAGTCCTCAAAATAAGCAAAATACACATAATAATTTAGCCTTGGTTCTTTATATGCACAGGAGCTGCACTGAACAAAAGCTCTGAAAGGCCTATGCCAAGTCTTAAAAGATGCATTTGTTTTGACAAGAAAGAATTTGAAATCTTTCCTCTATTTAAACATAAAAGTTCCATACCACCTAGGGGGAGCATACATATTCTATACCCTGCTTGTTATTTTCACTTGGAAATATGCTAGCCATTTGAATTAAATCTCTGCAAACTATTCCTTGACAAAGATTAGAACCTGAACCCTAAAGACATTCCAAATCCATTTCAACTGAAAGAATCCCTGAGTCGTGGTGAGGAAAAAGTCAAATGTCTTCATCTTACAGCCCATCTGTCCCCCCAAATGGATCATATCTAGAAAAGAAAGCTTCAAAGACAAGTTGTTTTTCATTTCATCAAAAGATCTCTTGTCTTGAAAGTTATCACCAAGTTTCACGATTCATTTCCCACGAATCAGGCAGCTCTTGTAAGTGCTTTTTAAACACTTAAGACTGGACTTAAGACTGACTGCCATTATGATAAAATAATGTCCTCTAACAAATCATCTCAAAAGTTTCCACCAACATAATAAATATCTACTCTTGGAAGCTAAGGAAGGAAAAGAGGAAGGGAACTGATGAATTCCTGAATCTGATAAAAATCTTCAGAAGCTGAAGTACTACCTGGCTGATAGGGACTGCAAATCATTGAGCTTTTTCACTGAATGTATGGCCTTTTCTATTGTTTCACAACAAAAAGGATGATGTAGAAAAGGATGCCCAGATGAATCATTTACAAAGCATGAATGTTGTTCAGTCCTCTCTCCCTTTCATAAATTCATGCAAAGCATGAAATAATGACCCTCTCAGAACTGGATAAAAGTCTTTCACTTTTCTATCAGTTTTGTAAATAGGAGATAACACGAACTGCTTTTATCGGTATAGGAGTCTTCACTGGTGCCAATAGAGGCATATTCTGCAAAGTTGATGAAAACAGAGAAGCTATGATGATGGACTGGCCCACTTCAATGTACTGTTAACTGCTCAAAAGTTTTCACAATGTAAGGTAATTGCAAAGTGTAAGTTTACCATTTATCTACAGTAGCCAGAGAATTCAGTGAAAACATTTCAAAAAATGAGCTATCTTGCTTACATATTAGGCTTGCTTAGATCTACAGCAATTATTCCCAGCTCTTAAATAGAGCTTCCCTCTGTTTCTGATGGGAAGAAAAAAGAGGACAAGAATTTTTTCCTTCAAAGGAAGACCAGAGAAAAATCATGAGCCTCCACAAAAAATGACTCATAATGAAAATCTATTCTGCATATCAAAGTTATTATTAAAAAGACAATAAAAGCTAGAAGCACCAATTAGAAACAGCATGTGGACATTGGTAACAAAAATCCTATTTCTAGACTGCTGTAGCTCCCAGTCTTTTTAATGGTGTTATAAAAAAGTGGGAGGGTGCAGGTATAGAACAGATAATCACTCCGTATGCTTAAGAAAGATTTACAAACTTCACAAACTCTCTGAGAGATTTTCAAGGAAAAAAATCTGCACGGTCACCTTAAAGCTTTTGTTCAGGCTTTTTTTTGGTTTTATTTTGGTCTTTTTACTTTCAGACAAAACCCATCCTCTTAAAGTTCCCAAGGCATTTGATCTAATCTTTAACATTTGCACACACACAAAATCTAAGACAGACAAAATTCTGTACATTTTGCAAAAGCTATGAACCTAAGAATACAAGGTTGCAACACAAACATGAATGTCATTCATCCTCCTTTACTTAACACTCAAATCAGTACTTCCTCTCTCCAAAGAACTGTAGTAACATCAAATAACTTGGCACAGTAATAGTGAAAAGGATATCCTGTGTTGCTTCTGGTTTAATGCTGTATCCTTCATCATCTACATCAGGAATGTTCTAAAAACAACAACAAAAATTATGATACTGACAAATAACTAAACCCCCATGTTTTTGCATCTGACTGAATTTTATATCACCGACAAATTAAAATTTGATTATAACAGCTCACGCAAGTCATTGTTATTCACCGTTAATTATTACAGTTATCTCAAGTTATGATCTGTAGTTCAGAAGTAGCATGACAAGATACCTTAGGAACAGAATACAACAAAACAACCTCCAAATTTCCTATGAAAACTGGCAAGTTTGAATGCATCTGCTTTTACTGGTAGTCTATCAAAAGGGTCAGAAACCAACAGGCATTTTAGCTTTACCACTGAGTGTTAAATAAGCTACAATTCTCTTGGCCTCAAGTATTTTCCCAATTTCTACTTCTAATTCTCTCAGCTAAGTCACTGGAGGCTCTGATGGTGCCGGAGCAGTTTGACTAATAGAGATTTATACAGTATGGCTAAAATACACCTTGCTGTTATAAGTCATGAGATGTAACAAAATGACTTACACTGGAGACTTAAGTGGACTAGCAAGGAACCACTTGAGATACTCACTTTGAATAGCTTTTGAATTACAGAGCAAGATAAACATAAAAATGTAGTTGTCCCTCTATTCCTTTTACAGATACCACAAATGGGATGTCCGATATTTTACTAAGATTCTCCTCTATATAGCTCTCTAAATCTAGCACTTTTGAATTAAATGGAAGGAATTTAAACATAGATCAAACTTGCTGCTAAAAAGAGTAAGAAATACAATCTTGTACAGGAGATGTAATACTGTACCCAATTAAATAGCACATCAAACTAAGGCCAAAAAATAATCTTAATTATTTCAATTATTAAGCTCAAACTTTAAAAAATGGAACATATAGATGCAATTTCTTGAAATACTTGTAAGATCCAGACTTCACTGCTATTTGATTAAAAAAAAACAACCAACCAACCAACCAAAAAAACCTGAACAAAAAAAAGTAATAAGAGTAGGATCACACGGTCCAGTACCTTAGCTCTACTTGCTCAAATCAGGGTTCTTAGCTACGCTTGACCTCAGGCCGACCTTGTTTATATACCAAAAACCACTAATGAAACTTGACATCAAAGTAAACAGAACAAAAACATATAGCTAGAGGGTAGGTACATTTTCTTACAATACTACAACTTCTGAATTCTGAAATTATTTTAGTTGTCATATTAGGCAATTTTCAATAGATCAGGATCATTCATGGTTAAGATGAGTTGAAAACCAACAAAAATCTTTAAATATACAACATTTAGTTTTTCTTCCAGCTGGGCCATATATGTAAAGTATATTATTACTGGGCACACACAGCATGCACAACATAGCTGGCAAATCGTAATATTTTGATATAAAATTGTGAAAGAATACTTAGTTTGCAGAAGTTATTTTCATTGCGTTGTTTTTAATTTACTGCATAATCTCTAGGATAAAGTAAATCCTTAGAAAGCACTAAAATCTCAAAGTTCTTAAAGTATTAAATTTCTTTCTATTTTCATGTTAATTATTTCTGATCTTGCAAAGATATCTGAACCATCTATTCCTCAGCAATGGCACTTTACCATGTAGCCTGTATTCATAATTTCAGACAAAATGTCAAAGTTAATACATTCATAACAGAGATGGATGCTTTATAGCTTAAGTTCTGAACACAGGAACTGAAAAATTCCTTGCTTCTTTTCCAGCAGGCCTACATTACCACTTTTTTCTAACACTGTGCAGAAAACTTAAATTGTATTTCTTTTTTTTCTATTTCTAAAATTTAAATATATGCAATTTCAAACATCTGACACTACACAGTATATACAGAGTCAGAAATAATCCGCTTTGTATTTCCAGCTTTGTCAATGATTTACAATGATCTTGTACCAATTTATGATCATTCTTAAAACATCTTCTGCTTTCATTAATGAGATACTGAATTCATATTTTTGCGTAAACCAATAGAACGAAAGGGTGGAAGAGATACTTAGTGCACCTTTGTATTGACAAAGATAAATAGTGTCACATACAATCAAAACAGTACCTCAAAATCTTACAAGTTAAGTAGTAATTTCAAAATATTGTTCTCAATATTTTGAACAGGTGAACAGTTCTGCTTTCTGAAACATCAGAATTTTATTTACTAATTTACATTTTGTAACAGTGGTAGAGGATACAGCATTTTGAGAGATACATATTCACAAATCTGATGTTAATGAAGTCATTTACATTTACCTGACTAATTCTTACTCCCTCCTCCACACTCCTACAGTTACAGAACTATATGTTATGTCACGGATAACAGTGCATCTTCTAATATCAGGCACACAATACAGACAAGACCTGATTTGCCTACCATGCTGATCAGAGGAAAAAACCAAAACCTTCGTGTATACATCTGTTGGTTTAAGAAGTAGTTATTAATATGGTGGGGATGAAGGTCTGGTCTAGCCCCCTACCCAAACTTGTTACTTGTAGTCTTTTCAGTAAAAAAGCAGCTTAATATGGATGTGAATTGAACTCTGTGGAAGTAACTGGAAAGCCAGACTTCCTTGAAAGAAGGTTTCACATTCTCAGAAGTTCTGTTAAGCATACAACTATGAAAACCACAGTCTTCCCTGTGTTTGCAGATATTATACAAAATATTACTAATTAAGCTATTATACAGTTTTAAATATGCATTAAAATTTAGGACTTATAACTGTCTTTGCGTTAGTATCTTCTGCAAACTTTCTAAGGTGAATAATTTTTTAAAGAAATAGAACATCAGGACATAATGTATAACAAAGTGAAACTGCCTATACAAAAAGCATGAGGACTAAGCATTCTATTGCCAAAACTTATTTTTTGAGTTTTGGCGAATACTTTGTCTCAGTTTCCTTGCTCTGTCCCATCTGTCGTCCAAAAGCAATGGAAGAAGCCACACCATTACCATGTCATTAGTTCCTCTGGGCAACGTACAAAGGACAAGAGAAGAACGTTTGGAGCATATTGCAGTCTAGCTACTTCATTTGGCCCTTCCTCAGCAACATTTGCACTGCTAGTTGTCAGTCAAGAAGCAAAGAATCTTCACTACGCTTCAGCTTGATTTCTGTCTATTTTCTCCTGGTATATATCTACAGTGGTTATGAGAGCTCCTTATCAAGTTTTCCTCAGGGTATGCTTCAGGATACAGGGCAGCTGAACAGCTCACTGTTTCTTTTTCTGCTGGATGAACTTTCTACCATTTTACTGAACTGGACTGACTCACTTCCTGTAATCCAGATGAGGACCGACGTGAACTCAAATAAGCAGTGGAAGCTCATAGCCTGGAACAAGAGGAAAAAGAGCCTCTCCACTTTTGATATATTTGAGATGTAAATTTGACTCAGGTATATCCTTAGGTTAAGACAGAGGTATTACATATTATCAGCCTCCTCTCCTTAGGGTGCCTATTAATCCAAAAGACATGGAAGAAGAGAATAGCCAGCCCATTTCTTCTATTGCCAGAGATGCAGTAAGAAAGAAAAAAAAGTATTCAAAGTGCTCCTGTCTTGTGCTGCGACTACAAAGCCTCACACCCTGTATCAATGGCAGCTATTCAAAACATGCCAGAACTAAACATTACAAAATGCAAATAAAGAAAAACATTTGATTTTCACTAAATATAATGTTACACTTGTGTTACACTAATTAAGAGTTTGGTGGTTCCAAATTCAATCAGTGCCCAGCAATAAAAATGGCGTATAATTCTACAGAACCATAATTATGCTACACTCGTGTGTAAAGAGGTTAATGAAAAGTTTTGGATGCCTCAATATATTTGTTCGCATTCCAGTTTCCTATGAAAAAAGTTTCAGCATTATGTTCTGTGCATCTGTGGCTCCCTTCTTAATTACTTTTGAACATACTGGACAATTTCAAATGGATTTGACAGACAGAACAGAGGACTCAAAGATAATTACATTACTACAGTCTTCATGAAAATAGGCAGTCAAGTAGAAGAAGGAGATCTGCAAGTATCCCAACCAAGGGAAGGGTTGCAATCCAAATTCAGATCTTACTAGACACAAGTGGAACCTTGTAAATGCTTCCTCAAAAAAAAAAAAAAAAAGCTTCTACTAGAGCTCATATCTTCCTATAGACCATCCCTAGAGACATGGCAAACCCATGGGAAACATGACAATTAATTAGTTCTGCCTTTAGAAAAACTTTCTAAAGATAAGAAACACATGCATAGAGCCAGACTTCAGTTATCTCTTTCTAGTGTACACACAGTTAACTTTCTACTTTCCTAATTGTCGAGGCTTAGCTTAATGGAAGTTACATGTGTAGACTGACATATTAGCAACACAGGAATTTTAAATCTCACGACATACTGTCATCTATATTTAAACAGAGACTGCTTATTGAAGTGGTCAACCTTTTTAACAAATACCAGTCCTCAGTTCACAGCTGCCTTCCTGCTCATGAGCATATAAAACCTCTTATAGCAGTTACAAAACATTATTGATAGGAATTAACAATTTATTCAAATGCATCACATTTTCCGATATATATATAATCTGGCAGCTACAAAAAGTACGAGCATAAGCAGATGGTTTGCCACAGATAAACTTGAGAACTTCCATGCTAGTACAAAAGACGTTTTTTAGGACCATGCCACTGTTTTGCTTTCTGGAAACAGAGAATACAAGTTCGAACACACTGAATTATACATTTTGGACTAGTGAGAAGGCCCTAATAGTATTGACTACACACTGCATGTTCAAAGATCCACAATATCACGTAGAACTGGCAGCTAAAGTATTGAAGTCAGTTCTTACTGGATCCATAACTTCTAAAATTTCAGTACAATTACTTCAGTGCTTATAGTTATAAATAATTGTAGAGTTGTTACTTCTTACGTTCCTTTCACACAGTTAAAATTCTTGACAAATAAACAAAAGCTACCTTTTAAAAAAAGATCATGTTAATAATATAAAAGCCAGTCAGAGACTGTCTGTGAGTGACCAAAATCATAACTGGGACACCTTAAATAAGTTGAATTTTCTGAGGGCTGGTCCTCAATATTTTCTAGCAATTAAACACAAATGATAATTGCTTTCAATTTTTGTTTTGCAATAATACTTTTCCAAGTTCAATTGTTTGAAATGTGTAATTTATTGCAAAGATCCATAAAAACCAAATCCTCATAGAGATAACAATATAGATGGTTATAACTATTTAGATCAAGTTTGAAAAATTAAACAGAAAGGAAATCTTAGAGTAAAAGACAAGAAAAATGAAACACATTTGAAATGGGACCTTCCAGAAGAGGACACCAACCTTAAAATGTAAAAGTACTCTGGGGTGCTTGTTTGTAAGGGGTGAAATGAATTTCACCTATGGTATGCTGCATCGTTTTTCACAAGAATGACAGTAATGCCTTCTGCTATTAAAGCATTCTACCATTCAGAACAGTACTGTTGCTTGTAAAAAGCAAGAAAAAATGATAAATCAAATTTTAAATTCCAAATACAGTCATAAAATATTGGGCATTTAAAAAAAAAAAAAAAAGAGAATGTAACGAAAATATCAGTTTTGTTGTTAGACACTATGAAAGTTAGGACTTTTTTTTAACCAAACAGAAATTAGATCTAGACAGAACAATTAACTTAGATGATCATATGGTGTGCCTCATGCAACCAGAAAGAATGTCAGACACATTTACAGTTGAATTTTTTTAACTAATTATTTTTTAAAAAAGTAAAGACCAAAACAAGCAATGAAGAAAATAAACATTGCAAGTCAAACTCAGTTGAGGTTCACGCCAGTGACTCAACCTGAACTGTCAAAAGATATTATTTCCATGAAAAGCCTGATAATTATAGGGATAATTCTAAAGTTACTTTACTTTAAATGTATCCAAGAAAAGAAATTTGCTCTAAATCAAGATGACTTTGCACAGGATAACATAACTGTCTCAATGATGCTTACGAGGCTATTCTTACACATATACTTCTATTATGTGGCAAAACTTACTTTTTCTTGTTTAGAAACATGGTTCTACTAGATTTTTTAAACCAAGTTTCTCAAAAGAAATTTTAATATTAGGTGCTAGAACTTCCAGATATTAAACACAAAGAAGAAAATCCACAAAACAGGTGAACTTGGAAACTTAAGATGTTTAATATAATTGGCACCTAAAGAAATGAACTGAAATACAAATCACCCTACAGAAAACCATTTAAATTTTTCTGTATATTACTCCCTGCTATAGTTATAGGGAGTTGCAATCTCTGTTACATACAATTCAAGGCAACATACATGTTTAAATAAAAAGAAAAGGCTCAATTAAGGAAATAAAAAAGCATTAACATAGCAATTTAATTTGCAACTGTCACTTATTTGAATTTAATAAAATTGTAAGACATATCATGGATCATACTGACAGCACTGAAAAACAGGCCATCAATAAAGTTAACCTAGAGATACTGCATTTAAAGCCATATTTTAAAAAGTATATTCCTACACTCTATTGACAGAGATAAAGCAGAACCCCATTGATATTAGATGGATTTCTCAAAGGAAACAGTAGTAAGCAGAGGAATATGATGATGCAAAGTTGGGTCCACAATAAACTGAACTTTTTTCTTAATTAGAATCTATTAGCCAAGCAATTTAAACTATTAACTTGAAAAACAAAGTAGCAAATACTTGCAGTAAAAACACCTTGTTTAAAACTTTCAATTGTTAGGAAATATAAATGTCGTATTACTGACACATATTTTATATATTGCTGAAGATTATGTACTGAGCAAAATTAACACTTCAACTATGTTAACAAAATACTAAATCCTCTTCAGATAAATAATGCATTGCAGGGACTTGATATAAGTTAAGTTTCATCGAACTGTAGTGCTTGACAATATTAGCATATGCATTTGTTTTGGAAATCAGTCTACTTACAACTGAGTCTGCGTCTGGACACTCCCTATTAAAAAAAAAGAAAATATACAATTATAAAATACACAATTTATTTTATTCATATAGTTCTGGTACTTCCTTTAGTATTTTCAATTATTTTGAAACATTGCATTTGACCCTTTTGCCTCTCAGACTGCAAAAGTTTTCATTATAAATAATCCACATTCAAATGAATCAGATTTAAATAAAAGCTGGAAGTTTATGCTCAAAACACCGCAGGAGGAAAAACTCAAAAGAAATGCTGAAAAAGCAAACTTGTATCAAAGATATCAAAGATATCAAAGTGTGTGTGTGTATAAAATCAAGGAGTACCACACTGTATTCTGGATGAATATACTTTAAGAGTCAGCTCTCTGTGTTTGACGTGCACAATAAGTAGAAGTCACCAATCCTAATGAAATAGTCCACATGCAGTTGCAAAACATTTTGGACAATAACCAGCTTGCAAAGAAATTAAGACTGTTCTTAGAGGAATTTAGAGCTTCCCTCTTTTGGAATTTCATTCTTAGTTCACATTTGTCAAGCACAGTTGCAGTCAAGCACTAGAATATGCCGGAAAAAATAAGCACTTAAAAAAAAAAAAAAAAGTCATCAGCAGAAAGGCAGTGATTGCAAGTACAATATTCACAAATGTTATATTTTTCCACTATAACTTCGATTTAAGCAGTAGTATTAAAAAAACCCAAAACCTGACACTGATTCTCTCTGATCTCTGCAACAAGCAGAAGCAATTAGATTTACAGAACATGGGAATACTTGAGTAGCATACAAGTCCTCTCTAATTTGCATTCTGACAAATAAAGCTGTAAGTGCCAGTGTAACTGAACAAGAGTGGTTTTATATAATCAAACTGAACATCCTAAACATGTACTTACAGAAAAAAGAGGAAAAAAAAATCAAATTATTGTAATCTAAATCATTTTCTCTGAAAAGCTAAATGGGTCAAATGTAAAAACTACAATGTCTTTAAATACAGGTATGAAAACTTGCTAACATGGAAACATTATTATGAAATTCAGTACAGCCTGTCAAGGAATTGACAGTGAGATGAAGGATCCTGTCTCCTCTGAAAGGCCTTACACAAAAGAAAACATGTGACCAAGTTTCTAATTGACTTACGTCTTATCTCCCTCTGCTGGCTAAACTGAATTCATAACAATAGAAAGAGCTATTTTAAAAGCTGTTTTACAGCTCCAAGAGACAAAGTATTAGACCTCTCTCAAAAGATGTAGCAAACAGATTTTCTGACATGTGGTTTTAAAAAGTGTCTATACTCAAACAAGACAACCTGAATTTAAGAAATTAAGAAATGTGAAAGATGTGAGGCAAAGGACAATGAAAGTAATTTAGGCCGTAATGAAGATTTTAAAAATTAGTGAGCTAATAGATCTCAAAAAGTAACAGCAGATCTAGTATCATTCCAAGGAGCACCAACAGCACCTCCCAGGATCCATTCACAAGACAAAAAGGAAAACTCAATAGTTTGCAAATGCTGGTGAAGTGGAATATGAGGACATCAGGTTTTAGACAGATGTGCTTTTACATCACTACATGCATGATCTTTCTTTTAACATTAAAGAACTAGGTCATGCTTCTAGTATAGGGTAACATTTCAGGAAATGGGGATTCTGTAAGAAAATTTAAGATTTAAGGATTGTAGATAAAAAACTAAAACAACCAAATAATGCAAAGCAGTGGTTAGGAAAAGAAGTTAGCAACATGTAATAGAATATATTGTGTATGGTATTTCCCTGTGTAAAACCATTACTAGACACTACATCCAGTTTAGGTGTCAACATGATAAACTGAAAAGCCTACAAACCATGAGAGTTTTTCAGGATGTGGAAAGCCTGCCCTACACGAATTAAATAAGTTTACAGCCTAATTTAACAAGAGATTAAGAAAGGACTTGACCTCTATGTGCAGAGAAGTTTCTGATGATACAGAGTTTTATCATCTATAACAGGATCATCAGCTGAAGATGAAAGACAAAATTTAGACTAGCAATAAAATTTTTTAAAGAGATCATAAATAACTATTAGAATATTTTACTTAAGCACATAACAAATCCTCTGTTACTTATTTGAGATATTCTAGTTCATTTAGAAGTTATGGATTAATGCAAGAATCTCTGTAAAAGCCTATCATACGTGTTACATAGAAGGTCAATATCATACTGTCATACTTCTTTCTTTCTGACCTCAGAATCTATTCATTTTTGTATTGTGTGTAAATATAGAAAAAAAAAAAATAATACAAATCAAATTTCAGTCCAACTTGTTGAAAGCAAGACAAATTCTCTTCCCATTTCAGAGTAGCTGAGCTGATTTATAGTTTCTGATGACATCATTGTGCCATGAAAAACAAAATTTTTTCTAGAAGGAGACACTGATATTATCTTTCAACATTAAATAAAATGTCTTTGGGAAAAAGCAGCTTTTATAAAAGTATTCAGATACTACAATGGATAAGCATACAAAGGTAGAAAGTGTTTCAAATAGGGCAGAAGCCAGTTTTCAGCCCTCAGTGCCTAAGAAAACTTTCTTTCTGTCACAGGTTAAAGAAAAACATGATCTCTGAGTAAGGATACATTGAGTCATACACCTGAGTTAATTTGGAGTTTCCAGGCCCTTACTGGCTTCAGCAAACTACTGTTAAAAGTTCTAAATCTTTGCTGGGGCCAGATTACATTCTGCCAAAGAATGGATGGAAGGAGATGCTGGTTTGCAAGGAGGCTTATAACATACATGACGTGAGATTCACTTGAGTAATAACCCACGTGGTGGCTAAATAATTATTTTGTTGGACAAGAAAAGCTGACACTACTCAATACTATCGAAATGTCTTCTTTGCAATTATGTAAATGCAAGACACGGCAAATGATTGAACATAGTTTTTTTGCTGCTATTTGATACTGCAACTGTTTTGCATCCACAAATATAATGAAATAATTATAAAATTTTAATTTAATTATTTTAAACGAAAAATATTTCTTTGTAACAAAATAGTATTCTCAGATTACTGCTGACCAAAATCACACTATATATTACACTTCTCTCACCATTTACTCCAGCTTGATAAAGTACAGAAGAGAGGGTGGAGGAAAGACTAAATCACAGAAGGAACAGAAATATAGAGGAAAGACTTAAAAAAACACCTTGGAGCCCTAAAGGCATCATGACAGAGAGAAGAAAAAGCTGGTTTAGAAGTGTATCACTGTTAAAATTAAACACCGAAAGAAAAATAGCTATGAGGCATGCTGTATATGCAAATAGTTAGCACCTGCAGTTCTTAGGTCATTAATTTTTCAGTGTTACATTAAAAACTAAGGATAATAAAAATTTTTAAAAGTAATTTTAAAAAGTATGTATGCACATGTTGCCTCTGAGAATATTTCTACATTGTTAAGTTTGCCAAATTGTAAGATATTTTCTGTTGAATTGAATACATCTATTGAGAAAACACATGTAGAAATTATGAAAAAAATACATTGGAATATAGTGACCATAACTACTAATACACAGGCTGTGACCAATCCATCTAAAGAACTTTTATTCAAACTCACTTTCTGGAGAGTTTTAACTCCTGGGAGACAGGGCACATGCAATGAATATGGCAAAGGGTATAGCTGGGACATCAGTCATGAGTTAGAATGATGGTCTTTCTGAAATGAGTGTGCACATGATGTACTGAAAAAACACTCAAATTTTTCTGTCCTTCGATACTGTATAAAAGTGTTTTTCTAGTAAAAAAATAACTGAAGCTTCAATTCTGCAAACACAGGCATCCAGTAATTTTTCCATGTACAGAGCTATTATTTCATTATGAGTCCACACGAGAATCGCATTATCTACAATGTTCAAACGTAGAACAAGGGAGAACTACTTACCTATGCACAGGAAAGAATGAAGCATGAGTAGACTACTATGAATATATTTACATTATTTCCTTAAAACCCTTACTTATAAAAATCTTTAATAGCTGTGATGTTGTCATATTCATAGCATTTCTCTACACTTCCGTTATAAACCCATTTTTTTGTTAAACATCAGCTAACATTTATCCCCATACTTTTACTAGTTCTCATACAAGACAAGGCTTCAAGATGGAAATATACTTACACAGATTCAGTATCTTTTTCTTTTTTCATTATTCCTGATAAACCAAAAGGCTTCCTCTTCCGTGGTTTTATCCCTATGGAACAAACACTTTTCATTTAAAGATCAAAGAGATAAGTACATATTTAGCCACGTCAAATGCGTGTGCATACCAATACCAATACAATTTTAATGCTGCCACAGGTGATACAAAAATCTAACAGATGAGATAGGTATAGAGCCAAACTTAGGGAACATTATTCAAATTTGTTAAGTAAGATACTATCCAGGACACATACCAATCAAAAAATTAAATTAAAATATGGTTGAAAACATTAATAACATAAGTCCTTATAAAACTGATTTGCATTGTACATCCAACTTTCCAAGCCGGGTATGCAGACTGTCACTTTTTTTAATAGAAAATGAGTGTACTGCCAGTTTTGAGGAAAGGGACTCCGCTCACAAACTCAACAGGTGCTATTGCTCCTGCCGATCCCGAATAGCCAATACACTTGGATCAGAAACTGAACCCTGCCTCTCCCAGCTACTGCAGTTCAACACCCTGCTATTTTCCTGCATGTTCCCATTAGCTGCAAGCCCCTGTCTCTCCTAAGAAGTAGGATCTTGGTCCTGTAAAAAAAAGAGAACATCTCTTGGCTTTCCAGCTGATGCTGAGTCCATGATTTTCCAGTGTTGTAGCCAGCTCGAAGGCTGGCTCTCACTGAGTCTGGAATCATGCCTCCCCCTGTGTCGTTTCTTCCCCGTTTTTAGCACTGGATACATGTAGCTATAGTACAGGAAAAAAAGCTTGCTTTCATACCCATTTAATGTACTAAAATTAAAATACATTTAAATATTCCATCAGACCTGCTGTCATGTGTGCCTCTCTCCCTGATTTTTGATGAAGCAGACTGCCAAACAAAATGACTTGAGTGCAAGCATCTGATCCAACTAGCCTACAAATTTGTTTTGATATATACTACTGACAGCATGCTTTTGACCAAAACGGTGGAAATAATTTGGTTTCCAAAATTTAACAACTGACACTTCAAGCACATAATTAAAAAAAAATCATTATATTCCACTTTACAGAAATACATTATACAGCACATAAGGAATCCCTCCACTCTTAGAAATTTTCAGGGCTAAATAACTCAAAACTTTTCAAACTAAGTAGCTGTAAACTCAGCCATATCTTATATTCTAATAGAGACAGAGTTTGCTCCAAAATTATTTTTAAATGCTAGTCTGGACTTTATTTTCTTTCTGTGCCTTATGCAGCCCAAAACAATGCCAAATGGAGTATGAGAGTAGTTTCTGAACATGGATCCTCTCTGCTTCAGTCAAAAAGATTTTAAGTCTCAGCTGCAATCTTGGCAACTTCTAAGTTGTCGGCTGCTATAGCTATACTGTCAACTCCTCTGTCCCAAAAGTAAATACATAGCTTATGCAAATAAAGAAGCTCTTAACCACTTAAAAAAAAAATCCCCTAAGCAAAATAAGCTATGCCAACAAAGAAAGGCTTTGTGACCATAACACTGCATTAGACTTGGTGTAACTAACATGATAACAATGGAAAGACCCTGAGCCATGTTTTGACATTTGTAAATTAAGTTACAACACAGCCATAAGTGAACCAAATCCAAAGCTCTGCAAAGACAGGGTCTTAGCCAAAGTATGACTATAAAAAATATTAAAATTCTCTGATCTTTGTGCATTAGGCTTATAAAGTATCACAGGTCTTATTATTGAAATTCATTTCCCAAAAGGAAAACTGCTTTTTAGTCTACTGGAGTACTTTAAAGTTATACAGATTCACACACTGAATAACCCTTCACTCCACAGTTTCAGGTCCTTACCTACAGCATTCTTAACATAAATAACTATGCTACAACAACTCACCTTCAACTGCAGTGGATGTGTTACATTCTTCAAATTCAATAGGGCCTTAAAGAAATGACAATGATGATAAACATTAGGTCAAATTTAATCTAAGATATTTTAACAACTATTAATATTTCCTGAAAATACTAGATAATCTAATTACAAATTTAGGTGGTAATGGAAAAGCACAATTACCCTGCCAATGGTCAGATTGCAAAATCATATGTGTACAGCAAATCATTAAGTATTTTCACTCTTTCATACTGAAAAATTAAAATACTGGTGCACACTGTCTAAATACAATTCAATTGCGTATGTTATTACAACCACATGAAACATCTCTAATTGGTGTCCTCTTCTCATTCAAAATTGCATCTTTAATATAGTATCAGTGTAAACTTTTCAACTTATCTTCTTTTAATGAACAAGAGCTACATAAAGAAAAATCAAAAGGGAAGAAAGCACAGCTATAGCCCTAATTTTGAGATTCACACTTTTGCTAACTCTGTATTGTTAGTTCTTCTGTTTCCTCTTCATAGCCAATTACCTAGACAGTTAAAAGTGGCATGCAGAATCTTAAACATAGCAATAAAGAAGATAAAAAACTTTAAAAAAATCATTAATACTAAACAGGACAAAAAAAGCAGAGAACACTAGTTATGTGCTGTACCTAAATAAATTCATTATAATGGCTTTCCATTACAGTTGACACAAGGTAACAGTCAATTGTCCCTAACCCTCATTCCTTCAATCTGGCCAGGTCTAGAATTAATTTAACCCCACTATGAGCCATTTTAGGGAGCAAATGTGCAAAAAACCACTGAATATACATAGGACCTTTTTCAGGGAATGGCAGAATCACACCAGCACTTGTGCAAGTGCAAAGAAAACAGCCCGTGCAGGCAGGCACCATTACTTTCTGCCCATACTAAGAATGAGCCCTTTTGCCTGTTTGAAAAATGGTAGCTTGCAACTGTACCCACAGAAGACAAAACAAAGTTTAGCATGCTAGCGTTGTGGCACAGGGATTACTACTCACCTTTCTGTAATCATTTTGTGGGAAAGCACACCAGTTTATACACAGGTGCATTACAGATAAGATGGGGGGGACGGAGACCATTCCCAATTCTATACTTGAAGGCAGCCAAAATCACACCCTGTGCCCCCATACCCCCCACCCCTGTCACACTCGTGCAACTACTTCAAGTGAGAGTTTAAAATCTCAAAAATTTCCATTAAAACCAACTGGAAGTAAAGCAATTGTGGAAACCTCAAATACAGAAACTACTTCCACTCCTGCCCCAAGTGCTCTGATTTATTTATCTTTATGATGAAGTTATAATTATTCACGAGCATCCACCATAAATCCAAGAGCTGTGCAATTTTCAGGGTGTTTTCACATAGAATAAAAGGTGTACTTGAAAGCATTTTCCAGGATTTTCACTTGTACTCTTTTCAAAATAAATACGTCATACTCTTAGTCTTAAAAAAAAAAAGGCTGATATAAACAGAACTCAGATACAAGAAACATGAAGACTACAAGCCTCAGTTTGGTTTTGAATACTACATGATAGCAAATCATTGTGCTGCAATTAGAGATGCCACAATGAAACTAAAAAATAATTTAGCTGTGAATTAGGATTGTAAATAATGCAACTGGGATTAATTTGTATTTGATTCATGCAGTTAAGTACTCAAATGGTTCTATTTGTAATGTAACCCCCAGTATGTATATTTAACTCTTGCAGTGCAAAATTGTTTTCAACTCACTACAAATGCTACATTTTGATAGCATTTCCCAAAACTGCAAATGAAAAAATTTATGCTTATGTCAAACAAATAGAAAGACAATTGAGAAGCTGACAATGTAACTCAATACTCACCAATGTGATGCAAATTGAATTATTTTGGACATATTAGATAAAATCTACCAGATATTTTCTTCGAAATTTTGCAGACTTCTAATGATTTTTTTTTTAAAAAAAGGTGTGCTCAAAGTAATGACTTGTATTTACTGTAATTAAGACTGAGTCTGCAAAATTTTCCCTGCCAGTAAAAAGGATCTGATTGCTTGTAAAACTATCAGGAGGATGAGAATCTGAGAGTAAAATACATCAACATCTCCTTTATCATAATGTAATTGGCCTCCAAATCATTCTCTTGAGAGCAGAATATCAAAAGACCAAATCTCAAATGGCAGGCTTTACTGCCCTTTAAACTTCAATTATTAAATAATTTCAAACACAAGTCTAACTTTCAATATAACAAGATGAAATACAAATTCCTAACAGCTCTCTCATTCTACTAAATATTGTAAATACATGGGCATTTTAAGCTGGTCTTCCAATCCCTTCTCCTTTGCTCTCCATTAAATTCACAGTAAACCAAAGTCAGCATGCTCCACAAATCAGCAAATCTGGGTGTCTCACAAACAAAAACCAGCAAAAAAAAAAATCCAGAAAAACAGATTTAGAGAACTGTAGATGTCTACATCCCACACTGATTTCATCAACATTTTATTTTAGGAATTTAAACTCTATTGTTCAAAATACATTGAGCAAGAAATTCAGAAAAATACCATAAAACATAGAAGCTGAAGAACAAATCCATTACTTCTGCAGCACTACACTTCAGACAACACATTTTTCATCACTTTACTAAGGATTCAACTACTTCTGTTTCTTTCTGCTATACATATTCCCATTTGGCCAGGAAAAAAACCCCCAGAACCCAAACCAACCACAAACACTCATCCCCAAAACAAAAACAGATGGAAAAAACTGTAAACAACAGAGACTTAAACATATTTTTAGAGAAAAACAATACTCAAGCTTTTTCAGAATACCATCTTTTTCTTTACCCTTTCCAGCTACTAGGACTGATCCCCAGACCCAGACTTTTACACTAATGATTAAAATAAATATTCAAGGCTGAAGTAAAACTCATCCTTATTTCAGATCAGTTATCTTTAACTTTCACTTTTAACATAAGCAGAAAGCAAAGATTTTCTTTAACAACACATCCAAGTTCCTGTACTTTGTCCATTACACTTGCCTACCACTTCTCTTTGAAGGTGGGGTTTTTTACAGCTTGATAAACTTTTTCTTTGAAGAGACAAACATTTGTGCTTAGTACAGAAATGCACAGATACGAAGATCAGATTAGCATTTTCAATTAGATTTAACAAAAGCTGGCTTACCCCCCACCCCAAATTCACTTCACTCTTGCAACAATGTATTCTTTTCTCATAGGGAAGACTATAAAATGCAATCTGAAAAAATCTCAGTTACTGAAGAATTGCCTGAGATAGTAATGAGATGGAAGCTGCACACAAGATTTCAGTAAGCAGGTCCCACTTTTCACTAAGGTCTAGGAAGTTAACTTGGAAATTTTGAATACAGTTTCTTCTTAATGATGCCTATTAGCTTATTTTATGTTTCACCAAAATAGGCAGAATGATCATAGGAGTCCCTTCTCCCCACACACGCTCTCTTTCCTTCCCCTGAATCTACTAGCTGCTTTACTGCAGAAAGATAAATAACAATGATGAAACCAGCATTTTCTTACAACAAATTGTGTGAATCGGTTACAATTTGAAAGCATCTTTTGATCCTAACTTACTTTTCCTACTTAACTCAGATTTCTATAGGGCCCTTCATCCTTTGGAATCTTAGAAGTTCAAGACACCAGTGGCTGTCCCTAACGAATCCACAAACATTAAAACATTAAGTTCAGCATTTTCCTCCAATGCCCTAAGATGTTTGCTGGTTTTGTAAAATTTGTATTTAATCCCCACCAATATAACACGTTGCATTATTTGCTTGCAGCAAATGCAGATTCATACATTTTGCCCTTTCGAGCACAGCAGAGCGAAATTTGTAGAAGTTTTTAATTTTCTTAAGAGTTTTGTTCTATAACTTCAGATCTCCCAACAGTTCTGCTTCCTATATGCCTGCTGTAAAGAGTACCCTGTTTTGCCTGGGGAGTAGTATTTTTAAACCAAAATAACATTACATAAATAGACATTTTCTGTGGCACTCTATGGTGAACCAATTTAGAAAATGGGATAGCTGTGATGAGCTTTTGGTAATCCACATAACAGCTGGAGTCTCCTGTGGGCAGATGTCTTTGTGCCCAAAGAGGTAATAATACTGTAGCCCAGCCAGAAGTGTGTACTGTGACCACATCGTCTCCTGCTAGAAACAGCTGCAGTCTCCTGGCCAGTGAAAAGGCCTTAGGCACGCATATTGCTATGGGAGCATAGCACCAATAAGGAATTGGAATGCTTTCTTAAGAAGTTCGCCTGCATTGTCCACTGTACTTGTGTATATGGAAACAAAAGCACCTGCACTATCAGTGCAAAAAACCCTCAGAAAGCTTTCTTCTCTGAACCACCATAACATCTATCTTTCTGATTCCTGATTCCTTCATCATTAGACGGTATAGTAAAAAACTCCCAGTGGGTTAGCGTTAATGGAGATTGCCAGACAAGTATAATACATAGATGCAAGTCAAAGCATGCAAACTCACGTGCTGGTAGCACAATAATTTTTGTAAAAGCTACATGAAGATTTGAAGGTGGATGCGCTACCTCTTCTCTATGAGCAGAAAAGTTTTCTTAACAGACCTGCCCAATGATTGAAGTATAGACAAAGGCTTAACACCAACAAGGATTTCAGCTCAAATCTGGAAGATATAATGGCCAAAATTTCTGAAGCAAGTACACAGATTCACTGAACATTGCAACTTCCAAAGAAAGAAAAGCAGTTGTTTCACATTTAAGAAGCGTTACTGATGTTGGGGACTGAAGTCGTTCCCTGAAGCAGTCTCTAGAGTCCCTGCCACGTGGTAGCCCAAAGCACCGAAAAGGACCGTCTAGATGTTGCCATACTGCAATGATGATAATAATGATATTCTGCAGTACTACAGTCAAAGCATTGAGATTTCCTTTGTTCTTTTTCTCATAATAAGACAACAGTGTGAATTGAGAAGGAAGCATTCACATAAACACAAAATAAAAGCAAATACTAGAACTAAAGCAGCAATGTAAAAACAAAAAATAC